AGCCCTACGATTAAATTATTTTATCCCACTGGGAAGCCAACAGGACGTCAGCCAGCTCTCTAAGACACATGCTCTCAACAGGCTTCACTGGAGAAGGACTCTAGTGTTCTCTATGGACCCTATAACGCTAAAGCCCAGCAAGCCCGTTGAGGCTTTTTTGGCATATGAACCCAGTGAGCAGCTGTCAAAGGAATGAATAATCTTGGAACGCATATCCAGACGTATCCAGTGTTCCTTATGCATTCTAGAAACCACTAGCAGCTAACCACTGCTTTGTTGATTGATGTAACTGGGATGAAACTTTATTTCATCTTACTTAGTCCTTAGTTGGTGTGGCTCTGACCTACAGTAACACTGTTATAGCCTGGAGAAGTGTGGAAACCTGGCTATGTGTCAGTTTAGCTGTCAGAGTTCCGCTCCAGTGCTTTTCTGAAAGCGCGTTATAATTTTACTTTCATTTCCCTGTCTGATGAGACGCTGTAAGACAATAAGACGTTTAGACGCCTCGTCACCACGAGGTACAATAGTGCAAGAAGTTAAAAACAGGTTCTGAAACAGCATTTAGACCAGATAGATAATTATAACAACAACAAAAATATTCAATTTGAGTATAAAGTGAACACAAACGGCAGAGACTGAACCATCAGAGCTACTTTTGATGACTTTCTGTCGTACATTCTTCAAGGTTTGTTAGTTTTCACATCCTGTTTGCTCTCTGTTCCCCTGCTAACCCAGCCCAGTCAGTCTGATCCATCCCCTCGGCCTAACTGGAACAGTCCTGTAAAATCTGCCCCCGGGAAACTCCCAAAAGAAAGCCGCTAAAAAAGTGTTTTGAGTTCTGGAACTATTTACCCGTTTGACTTTATCTCGACACATTACGCTTGTTTCTCTCCCCCCCCCTACCTCACTAACTCTGTCAGTCTGCTACTGCAAGCTGACACCTTTAGCCTCGAAGACTGGAAGAGTTCATAAGAGCAACACTGTCAGCACACAAATAGACACAGAACACAATGTGCTCCTGACTTACCGGGCTGTTTTTGAGTCCAGGCCATGTGTGAGAGGAAAGTACAGATAAAGCCCCTCTCCTCTCCTCTGCTCAGCTTCTGTAAACTCTTGTCCTCTTTGTCTGCCCAAGACCCTCACTTTCTCTGCTTCACTCTTTCCAACAGTTTTTCTTTTTCTTTCACCATCTCTGCTTTCCCTCTTACTTACTTCCCTCCTCTCCCCTTCTTTTTCTTTTCACTTTTTCCCCAGTAGTCCACTTCAGCAACTCGGCTTCAAATGTTGCCCTGAAGGTCCGAGTGTGAGCGTGTGTGAGAGAGATAACGTGTGTGTGGGGAGCGGGAGAGCAGGAGGGAGGGTGGGTGTGTCTTGTGAAAAGGGGGAGGAACCACTGGACACATCTGTACCTCCCCTTTACTGTATCCCATCTCCATAAGTGCAAGCACATGGGATTTCAGATGCCGAATGTCAGTTTTGGATGAATGAATGTGAATGTGATTTAATAGCAGGAAACCCTAGACAAGCTTCTCCTTGTTTGTTACAAATACATTCTGAGTACTGCATGTTTATTTTAGTACAAACAAGAACAACAGCTAATAAGAAGTCAACACAAACAATAAAAGAATATGTGCAAATTTGCTTTCAGGTTTATATATGTGTCAAGTAAATACATGTTAAATAATCCAAATACAAGAAATAAAAGGTACATATTCACTGTGTCTCAAGAGCTATTTACATCCCAGTCCCTATCATCACACTTGACTTCAGGGTCACATCATGGCTTCTGCTGCTGCTGATTCCACTCCACCATACCCATCAGTGCCCTAACATGTTCTGACTGACTGTAACTCACTGATGAACACTTTTCTAAGTTGGAACCTTAGGCGACTATTGATGATGTCTTTAGGCGCTTCGCCCCCTCTGCTGGCCACTAAGCCAAATGTAACTGTCCTGCAGGAGCTGACAATCAGCAGGTGTTAACATAACAGGCACGATGTTTAACATTTACTGTAAGTCTGTGCTTACATTAGCAAACTCTGCTAACTAGTTTCAGCCTTCAAAAATAAACAAACCCAACTCTTCCCACGTGTTGAATGTTTTAAAGGAATACAATCCTTAATAATATGTAGATAGTAATGTGGTATCATTACAGTTCATATTTTCTTATAGAAATAGCAAGATAATTAGAAATACAGCTCATCTCTACTAATAAAATTAAATATAATATATAATGCTCTCGACAAGGACAATACTGTCGCTGTTTTCTCTCCAAACCGGCTGAAGCCTCAGTAACAGCAAAAGCCTAATCCTAAACAGGAAAGTGATCAAATCCAGAAGCAATTCTAGTAACAGACCTTTAAGGAGAATGTGACATGCATACAGTGCCTTTTTGATAGCAGCAATGTAGCAGTGAGAAACTCAGAGAGAGCCAGATTATATGGACTGTGTCTGAGATAGATTGATAGATAGGTCTGTTTAAGATACTGCAAGGCTCCATAGTTGGGCTTTAAAAGGTCAGAAATTAAATATAATATTCATAGACATGTTTTCATTAGCATATAATCACCTGAAAATAAGGATTGTTGTGTTTTTGTTACCTTAGAATGAGATGTTTTTATTTACAGAGGGAGTGGATCCTCCATGTTTCTACAGTAGCCCAGAGTGGACTTGAATCTATGTTTCCTTCCACTGTCTTAATTAACAATTAGTAAAACTGTTCCCCCAGTAAAATAACCTTGGGTTTAGTGGGATTTTTGAACCTGTTGGTAGGAAAAGCTGGTTTACTAGACGCAGAGTGGAACAAACTCTCTTTTCATTTTGGCTCCAATCTCAGTCAGTGTAGCTGTTCACACTACACGTGGAGCAGAACAGACTTGCAGTGACTTTATGCTACCGAGTCTATTTTTTCCAAAGCCACAAGTGAAATTCTCTGGGGCCCAGTGGAAATGCTGAAGACACACACATATACATACATATATATAATTATTTCTTAAAGAGTGAGAACCCTGAGAATATTACAAGCCGGATCAGACATTAAATACCAACTTTTGCCACTTCTATTCGGTCCCCTGATTTCAATACCAGAACCCTGTAGTAGGAGTCTGTATTTACAGTTATATAAAAAGCTCATGTTTGGAAATATTAGTGGTTCATGTAAATAGTTATTTGCTTGGAAATATTTTTGGTAGCAAAGAACCTTTAATGAACATTTACTAATGTTATATAGAATACACGCCTTCCTGAGCTGAATCAGCTGATACACACATCATGTGCAAAAAACCTAATTATGGCTGTACATTGAAAGGAGGATAAGCCTGTGTCTGTGTGCATGAGCCTATGCGTGAAATTGTACAAATCAGTGCCAGCACTCAATTTTTCTTACATAGTCAGGTAATGCGCAAACAAGACTAGCCCTTTTGTGTCCCTGTACTTGTGCACATTCTTAGTTATAATAAGGTTAGAGAGAAGCTCTTCAGTTACAGTTTGGGTCTCAGACTTGCTGCAGCAACAAAAGAGACGCCTGAAGAGTCTGTGGTTGTTCAAGAGGCAAGCATTAGCACATAGGCAAGCATTTTCTTCCATTTCCTGTATGACTATGGCATGACGGATGGGAGTATCAGAGGCATTTGCTTTGAGCTTTATTGACCTATAAAATTGGTGTGTACATCAAAAAGCTTTTTAGCACATCTCCATGGGTTTGTGATAGCATCTGAATTGTCAAACCTCATAAGTGCCCACATGAAAAGGACCATTACTGTCTGCTTATTTGTTTTGTCCAAGTTGATTATGTTTTATGGATATGATGAAGGCTTTCAAACCCGTTGTGCCAAAAAAATCTCAACTCCAATCACTACCAAGCTTTCTCCGGAGCTTTCAACTGCATTGTATAATCTACCCCAGTGGATGGAGGATGGATTCCATGTGGTGGAAGCTCTGGCAAAAGCGAATAGGTTGGTTGACCTTAAGTTAAGACTTTCTTTTTGTCAAACTACTGTTTCTAAAGTCAATAATTAACTGTCACACTCAGCTTTAAAATGTGATTTTCAATTTGGGGGGGTCAAGATTAGATAATAATGCAGGTGTCGCGGAACTCATCATTAGGATTAGGATCATTATCATTATTACTAAAACAGTTGTATGACGTATTCTGTGATTTCCTCTGAATTCCTGGTCATGTCCTCAGATTACCTCAGCTTGCTCCGAGCCTTCAGATCATACTGTAAAATGAGATATCAGGGCATGTGTGCGATTTCCAAATAATTATTTAAGTGTATTTATTGTATCCTTTGGAAAAGGAAGAGGAAGAGTCATGGGCTCAGTGGATACATTAGAATTTGTCCTTTTGGCACCATTGATGTACCAGATTTCACAAGAATCCATGTAGCAGTTATTATATTTCAGTATGGACAGACAGACAGGCATTGCCATGCATGGCTAAAGAGTTTACTTCCCCCCGGTGGAAGGATTCACAAATGTTCAGTCTCCTGATGACTCACAAAGTAATTATACCCCTCTGACTGAACATTAAGATGCAGATGCAATTATCAATGTAGAGGAGTTTCCCATTTGTAATGGTGCCCGATGGGAGACAAATCCTGACGAAGTGATATCACTGCTCATCCAAAATACCCACAAAACACTCTCATCTTTGTGGGGGTGTCATTACTGCTGTGCCAAGATTGAAAAGCCATTATTTGGGTCTTCATGTTGTTGTTAATAGCCAGTCAGGGGGTCCGAGTGGACCACTTTTAGCAAAGCTAGCAGAGCCACAGCGTTGAGTGGCTCAAGAGAAAATGCTGGTCTCATGTGACCAAACAGCACTTCACTGACATATTGATTGCTGGTTACTGATCCATTAGTTTGTTTGTCAGCGTCTAAAGAGTCAATTAGAACAATGTGGATAAATAAATGAATGTTGTTGTTTTTTTGCAGGAAGTTCTTCTAGAGTGGCTTCATTAAGATTTGCGTTACAAATCACCCCATTCTTTCCTCTGCAGACACATCATGACTGAGCTGATTGAAACAGAGAGGCTGTATGTGGAGGAACTGCAAAGCATCATGGAGGTACATGGAGGTTTTCTTATCCATTTTACATTTCCCTAATGTATTTACATTCAAAACAATCTTGAATCTTGAAAACTGCAATCTTTACCAGAGCCTGATAAATATGGGTTTTGTGAGACAAATACTGATTTTAGAGAGGAACATTTTACTGATTACTGATATGGTGGTTGGTATAGTTTAAGAAAAAAAATCTTGAACCTTCACTCTGATAAACTACCTCATCCTGCATTGAAAAAAACAATCAAGAACAACGGCAATGGCTTTGTATCAGGGAGGTGAAAACACTTTATTATTCAAAACAGAAGCCTATAAAGAATGTATTATTGTTAAAAAGAAAACATAATACAGACAGACAATTGTATTAAAACTTACTAAAATTATCAGAAAAACTAAACTAAATTCATCCAAATCTCTGGTTTTACACAAAGTTCCAGCAGTTATTGTGTTCACTGTTTGTGTTCATTGTACAGTTTATCAGCTGTTCTCTACTGTTATTGTTATGCCTTGAATATACTATGAAATATTCATAAATTATGTCACTCAGTCAGTTTACTCAATGATAGAAAAGGTGTCCCTTAAGGAAAAAGGTTGGTAACCAGTGGGCTTCATTGTCAACCAATTCTAGAATGTAACACTGAGAAAATAAAGAATAAATAAAAATAACAGCTAAACATCACTGCTGTAAAAATGATAAGCCTTTTTACATTATTTACCAGAAAGAAACACTTTTCATATGGGCACCAATACAGTACTGATACTGATGTCTGCAATTGGCTGATGTATCTTAATCAGTTAGGCTTTAATCCTAACTAACGATAGCCCTGTCATGTGCTGTAATGTGTTCAGAGTTAATCTTCCAATACAGAGGGCCGGAGTTATTAGTCAATTGATTTTATGATTTCAGACTCTGACGTTGCTGTTGGAATTGGATTTTATCATTTCAGGAGGGAAATTCTTAATGCAAATAGTCTAGACATTCAATAGCACGATGGATACCGGTGCATTCCCAAGCTCAATAAACTGCATTGATTGCCAGTAAGTAGAAAGAACTAAATCCAACCTTCAGACTCCTGCCAGTGTATGAACTTCATATGATCCCCGGGTTGAACATGTCCAATCAATTACCTGTTGGATTACTCACTCGACGAATGGTTGAACTCCAGCAGGAATGCATTCATTTTGACTGTACAGTATATTGATTACGTGGAACAGAGCATGGTGTGTTAGTGTGTATTAGTCTATAATTCATTTTCAACACCCATAGGTGTCAATCTGTGGATTGTGTTTGACGCTGCAGATGGGCAGACGTTAAGAATCTCTGTTTCTCTGGTTGTCTCAGGTTAAAATTAGTAGCTATTTTAGATGTTTTACCACCTTGCCAGATAGTTTATGGCTAATTTTGCGTTTTCTTCTTCACTGTCTCATTATTTCACCCTCCTCCCCAGGGTTATTTCGCAGAGCTGGATAATTCTGAACTCAGCCACCTCATCCCCCCTTCCCTGGAGAACAAAAGGGATGTGCTGTTTGGCAACCTGCCCGAGATATATGAATTTCACAACAAGTAGGTGGAGTGCATTTGGTTCATTGCCCTGCCATATATTATAATATGTCTGAGAAACACTGATATTTGTAACAAAACAAGACTCACTGCAGGACAAGATGCATATTGACGTCTGAGAAATCACGTCATACTAGATTAAGGATAGAACAATGAGTGTTTTGCATGTTGCAATTATATTTTAAGTAAAGAATTTGTGAGTGACTTTGTTTAATACATCAAGATTTATGGTTTGCCTTCGACTCTTTCTTCCCACTCATTCCAGCTGGTCTGTTTACTGGAAGCGGTTTCTCTCTCTCACACACACACACACACACACACACACACACACACACACACACACACACACACACACACACACACACCAACTGGTGTCTTCTTAGGAATCAAACATTAGGACTAAGATATTTCTAAATAGCGGGAGGAAGATCAGATGTCAAGACCGCTCTGTGACTTCCAACTCCAGTTGAAAGCAGACTTTGACTCTCATACAGAAAAAAGTATTTTGTTACCCTAAAACCACAACTGAGAGCACTGAAAATGTATCATAAACTGACTAAATTGCATCACATAATTAGATAAAGAGGCAGTGTTTCCAATGTTTCTGTGGTGGTAGAGTGTGTTGGCTAGTTAAATGTCCATCCGGTTTGTATATAATGCATTAGAGAGTAGAAGGGCCCATCGATACTACATTTCAATCAATCAGTACAGTATTTGCAAAATTGATATTGAAGCCTTTTATTCTCAAGAGAGATATCCAGTCAGTATTCCAACGGCTCCAGTAACTGTTGATGCTGATTTGAATGAATTTGGATTTCAGGCGGAATGTTTTAACGATCTGTGTCTTTATTAGCATGAGACACAAGTCATACAATATCTCATTTCACCTTTGCTCTAGCAGCAGTGTCAGTATGACCTCCATGACTGCTGTGTGTTGGATGTGTCCAGAGTTATCAGTTTAGAGCTTGTTGTCTTGGTTGTGTTTAAAAAAAAAACACCCCGACATCACTGGAAAAAAAAACATTACCTAGTGGTGTGTATGTCATTCAAGTAGTTGTGGATTTATGTGCAGAGGTTATAAGATATGCAGGGTTTTTTTTAAGGTTGACTACATTGGAAGTGATTGTAATTTTGTTTTTGTGCTCAAAGCATTAAAAAATGTCCAAAACGTGTGCTAAAGTTTCCTCTTGGGAGCCAAAACTCACTAAAGTGTCCTATTGGGAGCCAAAACGTGTGCTTAACTGCTCTCAAGTGCCCCATTGGGAGCCAAAACGCGTGCTGAAGTGTCCCATTTGGAGCCAAAACGCGTGCTAAAGTGCCCTCTTATGAGCCAAAACGTGTGCTAAAGTGCCCTCTTGGGAGCCAAAACTCGCTAAAGTGTCCTATTGGGAGCCAAAAACGCATGCTAAAGTGCCCTCCTGGTTGGCAAACTACACTAAAGTTCTATTATTAGGTAGAGATGCTGCCTAAAAGAGGTGCTAATATGGTGTTAAAATGCACTAGAATACAGGAAATGGCATCTACTTAATTGAAAACTTTCTGGGGGAAGACCCCCAGACTCCCTGGGGATTTATTTCCTCCATACATCCATGTCACTGTGTGTTCTTCATGGTCCAACGTTGAAATGCACACAGTTCTTGTGGATGCTGATCCGAACAGCAAACTAACCTGAGTAGTCTGTCTAGTTAGTCTGTTTTAAGGCTATATAATGTGCCATTTGTAAAATATGTCTAAAGTGCCCTCTACAGTGGTGAGGATGCGCATTATGTGCCCTTTTTTTCTTTCCGCCCCTGCCCTTCAAAAAGTCTGTGCACGCCACTGCTCTGCAATGTCCAGCCAGTTTAAGAGAGAAAGCCGTTTATGGTCACAATCTTGCCAACACTATATTCTGTCCCACCTGTGTTCTGCCGCAGCATGTGAGTAAATTTTGCCCTGCCAATTCTGGTCTAACTGCACCATAACTCTCCTGTTGCAGCTATTGAGGACACCTTATACTTTTGTCATTTGTATTGGGACTTAGAGTTTGATAACCTCACGTGATTCCCATCATAGCTCCACCTGCTAAGCCTCGCCCCTCCTTAGTTACAGTTGCTACATCTGTCAACATGTCCATTCTAGCACAAGCATAAAACCAGTTTGCATGGTGGCAGATTTAACCACCCAAAATTTGTCACATAAGTAAACAAAAGTTGTATACAGTGTCTGTTGATTTTGCACGAGTGTCATAAGTAGATTTGATCAGCTCTAGCAAGCTGATAAATGTTAACATTGCGATACTGTGGAGATATAGCCTGTATAAGGGTCTTCAGGGGGCTGAAGGTATTTTATTTTTTTTTGTCCCAGGCAAAATTCACCATGCTCACCAGTTAATCCATATAGAAGTAATGGGAATAAAGAAACACATTTTTTTTCTTCTATTGCAGTGTAGAGCTAGTAATTACTAGTAGGTTGTGGTATTAAAAATGCAAATGTAATTAAATAGTATTTATTCTAATATAAACCTGTTTGGATGCTTATTATAAGGTTAAGTTTAGGCTTTATATAGTTAAAACAAATGTTTGTGTGTGTGTAAACCAAACCAAATAAAGAGCAGGACAAAAGGAACTGACAATAGCATGCAATTCATATAATTCCAGAATATATTGTTAGCCATGCTCCTTGGCTTTGGAAGTTACACTAAGTTAATAATTTAGGTAGTAAGCTACTTATCTAAACATAGTTTTCGGCTTACATTTGAACAGACAAACACCATTTTGTTAATAATTTTTTGCAAATTTGGCCTGGACCAATGTGTCGGATATATTGGAATCTAGCGGTATAGTTGCAGATTACAACCCCCTCTAAGCATGTAGGAGAAAACTATGGTGGCCACCAAACTCGCAAAAACACGAAAGGTCCTATTAGGCGAGTATTTGGTTTGTCTGTTCTGGGCTATTGTAGAAACATGGCAGTTGAACATGGAGGACCCACTCCCTCTGTAAATAAAAATAAATTTTCCTAAGGTAACAAAAACACAATGATTCTTTTTTTCAGATGATTACAAACTAATGAAAACATACAAGAGAATATTATATTAAATTGTTTACAATAGATCCTCCTAAATGTTACACACTGGACCTTTAAGCAGTGTGCATGGGTCAGTTACCAGGTATCTCACATATGATACATACACACCACTCTAGTTTACTTAGAAATCCAAACCTTGAAAGACCAGTTGTGTCTAGTTTTGGTTGCTTAGCTATGACTGGACAAATGCTGTTTAGGGAAATGGTTTAGTGAACAGGCAATTGGTTCTCACAAGTTGGATCTTGTCTCCTTTTGCCCTCTGTAAAGATTCATGCAGACAGTAAATAACAAATAATCAAGATCTGTAGAGTCTTTTGTAACTCTGCAGCCAGCATGTGGACACATTTGAGCTGTTGCTTGTGTTTACTTCCTCTAACTGTATCTCCACCCTGAAATTAAAACCTGTATGAAACCTTAGCGTGTGTGCAGGTGCTTTACATACAAACAAAAGTGTCTGTGCAGACAAGATAGTTACTCAAAGCAACTGTCAACAAAGCAGAATAATTCAGAGACGTCACAGGTGTTCCAGGCAGATTAGACTCCCTGAAGGCCTCAACCAAAAAGTTGTTCCTCCCTTCCATCCTTTATCTCATCAACTCTCTTTATTCTTACACTTCCTTCCCTCTCTCTCTTGCTACTTGTTTTGTCTCGCCTCTATTCTTTAATCATCTATGTTTTTCTCTCACAGTCTACTTGTTAGCAATGCATATCATCCCTTTTTACAGTAACTGGTAGAAATCTGAGGTCATCATTAGACTTCCTTGGATTATTCTCACTTCTTTAGACTAAGGGACCAAGACCTAAGTTGACCGCCCATTGCTTTAAAGGAGTAAAAGAGACTCGGTAACATGACATCCTTTTCTCAGATCCTCCCTGATCCTCCCACATCTTTCAAACTCCACACCCATCGTTTGTAAACTCAGTCTTCCTGTTAATACTTTGGGGTCTCCAGGTCCAAGCCAAGATTAACTTGATGACATCAGGGTTATTTTCTCAGATCAAACAAAAGTTATGCTCATGACTAGGTAAACCAACCATGATGTGTAAAATTCATTTGAACAGTGTTTTCACATAATAAATATATTTTTGATATGAAATTGGTGTTTGGAGCAACAAGAGATGTTGACTCATGACCCATAAGTTCAATATTGATATCAATGATAATTTGATTTTGTTCTGTTGATAAAATGGTATTACATTTGGCAAAGAGCGCATTATGGCTTGCTTAGGACTCGAAACTCAAAGTTCAGGACTTGAGACTTGACTTTGGATTTGAGACTTACAATACTTATTAGTTATTATACATGTGCATTTATTGGCTTAGTCACTTTAAGCATCAGGTCATCTGGCTTCCAGCTCACCGCAGGAGTATTACAAGGTGCGTTGTGTTCTTATTATTCTGTTCATATATTACCTACAGGACATTTCTGAGGGAGCTGGAGAACTGTGCAGAGAAACCAGAGCTGGTGGGAACCTGTTTTCTGAAAAGGGTGAGTAGCTTAGAAACAGTGGTGGAAAGTAATTAAGTATATTTAGCTGCACTGCGTGATCATAAAGATTTGTGAACGGTTGGACACACAAAACACAGGACTTTGACAACTAACCAAAAAGAACCCAGAGAAAACCTACCTGAATCTGACAACCCTTCACAAATATTTATGATTTCATTAAAAAAAATGCCAGTTGCCATAATTCCAACACATATTTAACAAAAAAAAAATGAGTCATTTCTAAACATATTTTCATGATAGTGGATTACTTTAATCAGAGCTATAGAATGAGAAGCTTATAGTATTTCATATTCCAGCAACAGCTAAAATTAACTGACTAGATGATTTAAGGGCCTCTCTTCACTCAGACATGCCTTTGCGTTTACAGAAAGAAGAGCTTCAGGTGTATGAGAAGTACTGTCAGAATAAACCACGCTCTGAAGTCCTCTGGAGACAGTGTGGAGACAGCCTTTTCTTTCAGGTAACACACACACACACACAATATCAAGAGACGATAACTTTACTTGATTATTAACTTACTTTCCATATTCCAGGTCCCTTATACAGTAGCAACTAACTGTCCAAATGTGTGACCCCTGTAAGGTTTGTTGAATCAAACATCTTCTTAGTAAGAGATTGAATGGATGTCATGAAGAAGTTCAGCCATGAAGCACTTCTGTTGTATATTATGTTCAACTTCCATTTTTGGTCTGTTACTTCCCATCCACCAGAAAAACATTGTCCAATCCAATGCTAGAATTTAAATCTCACTACCACAATATCTACACTGTCGCTAACTTGTGTTGTAACTTCACCTAATTTGACAGGTGTATTTTGACATGCGCATTTTGCCTACTGCAGCTTCAACAAGTAGGTCTGGCTTGTGTCCCTTCCTGATGGAGAATGTTTGGTGTTTGTGACAACAGGAATGCCAAAAGAAGCTGGACCACAAACTGTCTCTGGATGCCTACCTGCTTAAGCCTGTCCAGAGGATCACCAAATACCAACTCATGCTCAAGGTAACTGCACACACACACACTTCCTTGTCTTTGTAGTATTGTAAGGACACCTGACCTGAACAAGCATTCTGGGAACCACCCTTTTTAATGGTTGTACAGCACAAAAATCAGACAGATGTCCTGGAGTGAACACAATGAGGGATGTCCCTTCAAATGATCAGTCAGGCAAAAAAAACCTGGCTTAATGCCACGAGCATTTTTGGCCCATCTCTTATCTAGGGTTTTCAGCAGTTCTAGAAGGAGTGGTCCTGTCACAACTCTAAACTGCTCCTAATTATTTTTCATCTTGTCGCCTCTATTTTTTTCTGCCTCTTTCCCCTGCCTATATAACTCCCCTGTCATTACAAATCACCTACTCACCTGTTCCCACTTTCCATTCATTCCCTGCAAGATTGTCTGTTGTGCTTACGCCTAAGCTTTCAAGCATTTTCTTCTTCCGGCCCAACCTAGCCTAAATGGTTTTGACATTTAGCTGTTTTTTGACCACTAATAAACATGAACCTAAGCTGCTTCTGTCAGAGTTCAGCTTTCACCTCCTCCCACCCTCAATGCAGCTATGGGTTGCCAACAGATGGTTACAATAACAACAGTGCAGCTGCAGACAGGTTTAGAAGATACTGGTAACTCTGGTTCAGAGCAGAATCTGGCATGACTATTGGTGTTTAGTAAGCTAGCTGGTACATTTAGCATGGTAATTTCAATAAATACAGGCCGGCTGTGGCTCAGAGGTAGAGCGGGTCGACTGAAATTGAAAACCTAAATTGCTCTGTGAATGTGCATGAATGAGGTAGTTTCTGATCGATGGAGTTTGCCATCACTGTGTGAATGTGTGTGAAAAGTTGAATGTGGCACTTAGTGTTAAAGCGCTTTGAGTGGTCGGAAGACTAGAAAGGATCTATCAAGTACAGGTCTATTTACCACTTACCATATGCAGCCCCATACGCAACAAACTGTAACGTACTTTGTGTTCTGACACCTTTCTATCAGAACCAGCATCATAATGTTATGGCTGATCAGTGTATAGCTACATCACAATACATAGAAGTCTTAAATCATAACATCATAGGTGTTACCTCATTACATTCTGTTGATTATGTTCACTTTTTGAATGTTTTTAATATTCATAAACTATAATTATGGCCATATCTTACACATTGCTCCTATAAAGAATGTTTAAAACAACAAAGTTTGACTGTACAGTTACAGAACTCAGCGCTTCCTCTGTGGGTGAGTTGAGGATCTGGTTGTCTTCTTCTTGACTTTATTTAGTGGTCAGCTTGACCAGCCCCAGCTGGAGTTTCCTCATGGTTTGCAGTGGTAGTTTACTCACTTGGTGTTCTGACCTTTGACATGACTCCAACCTCATGAACAGATTAAAATAAAACCAAAAGTCTCATGAAAGATAAAGGAAGTAAGAATTTTCAAAATGTTTAAAATACTGTCTTAAGGAACCAAAAGCATCTGGAATGTGCTGCTTAAATGAGACACTGCTGAAACTTCCTTTTCACATCTTTTAAAGTCAACGGCCCTTTTATGTCAAAAAGTTACTGGTTGAACATTATGACAATGATCATTTTCTCCCTTTTTGCAAAGCTGTTAAGAATATAACTTGTACACTAGAGCCAGTTGTATGTCACTGATAAGGTTTTGCTCAGTACTAAAGGAGCCTTGCCTGGACAATAGCCTGACATCCTCAACTTGATAAACCCATTACCTCAGCCTGTCACTGTTAACAATTAACTCTCCCTGGCACCCCCTGTTATCGTCACCTCTTCTTTTGTTGATCAGGGGGGCCTTGAGGCCCAGCCAAGTTGCTAAAAGTCTACTTTTTAGATAATTTCCAGAGGACATGAGCTCCCAATTGGTAGCAACGGGCCTTCTTCAATGTCTACATAAGTCTTGTTCTTTTCTTGTCTTCTGTATTTTTGTGTTTATTCTCTTTCTTCCTTTAATGCTGCATTATTCAATCTTTATAATCCCTTTCCTCCTTCCTGTCTCCCAGGAGATGTTAAAATGCAATAAGGGTGAGGGGACGGCTGAGTTGGAGGAGGCTTTAGCCACTATGCTGGACATCATCAAGTCTGTCAATGACTCCATGCACCAGATAGCCATCACTGGCTTTGAGGTTAGTATTTAGAGGTAATTCACTGTCATCATTATGCCCTCATCGTTACTGTAAAAATGAAGAGAGCAACAGCTGTACAGTCTTTTTGACTTTACTCAACTTTGGGGCCAGCTGGTTGTGTCAGTTTAAAAAGTTATGCTCTTTAATTAAACTTCTACGTTTTACCAAAATGGACCAAACTTAAAGTTACTAGTTTGATTGAGTTTTTTTTGTTTAGATAGCTTAAAAATTTGAAAGTATATAAACTTTAGAAATTAAGTTGAGCCAAAGAGTTGTGTCTGAGCTGTCAGACTTGATTTCCAGTTGTATTTAACTTTCACTAGTAAAGCAGTGACATGTTTGATTCCCTCATGCACCACTGCAATAATTGCTGTAAGTTTTGGTAACAGCAAAATCCAAACATGGATTAGTGGATCAGGTTTTTAAATATGTGGCTGAAATGTTCCAATGCACATGCTGTAACTTCTAGGATGTCTACATCTACAATTATCGTCATATGGGTCCAAATGACTGCAAAAACATATTTGATTGGATGTCTATAAACCAGTCACTGTGTTTCACTTCATCTAAAGTGGACTGCAGTAGGGCCACACCTTTTTTGGAGAATTCTTAATCCAGATAAAATGCTAACAATGTCTCTAAACAACACTTTGGTGAGTTAAAGGATCAATCAGGGAATTTAGTCTGTATTTGTTTTAAAATGGTTGAATCACTAAAGAACACATGGCCCAGAAGTAAATAGTTCAAGCTTTCATTATTTGAAAAGACAAGCAAATAAATTAGGTTGTTCTTGCGGCCCCTGGGGACAAAAGTGGTAGTGTTTCTGCCACCTTTCATTGAATTCAAGGGGAATCCAACCTGACAGACATTTAGATTAACTACATGGAAATAGTCAATCTTCTTGCTGATTGTCTTGTTTATTTATGTAGGTCATATAGAAGCATCAGTATTAAACTGAGACTTTTTCACAGCCAGTTAAAAACTCCTTTTAGTACGTTTAATTAATGCTATGGAAATGGAAATAAAACTATGTAAAGCAGAGATTTGCAAAATGTTTTTGTCACACATACCCAATAGAAAAGGCAAACATTAGGTTGCATCTGGTCAATTTTTGTTCCATCAGTTTATAAATATCAGATTACTGTCCCATGCCACCTTCCCACCCAGACACTTAGTGTGTTCTCAGAGAGCAGCATCAGAGTCAGTGGACACCAGGAATCTATTGCATCTTCATCTTGCCTTCTTACTTCAAAGAGAGCAGCTCTGGCTCAGTCACACATTATCCATGCAAGATCCATTCACTTGTACTCAACCCTGACTCCACGCTCATGTGATCAGTGTGTAAGAGGTCAGTGATAAAGGGGCTTTCAGTTGTTCAGATTCATTCTGTATTTTCTTTAACCTTGAATAATTGTGGTGGGAAAACAGTTCCATATAGTGCAAAATCATAACAGAAGTTATCTCGGGAACAGTTTAATATAGAGCAGGTATAGAATGTACTCCTCGTAAAATTATTCACAGAGACCCAACAGTTCCCAACAGTCATATGTTATTGTGTCATACTGGACAATGAGAGGTTCCATAAGACAGAAGTACAGGGTATTTCCAAACAAGTCTAACAATACTAATTGTCTGTCTTCCTGAAAAAGAAAAAAAGAATTACTGTATCTAAGCTGTCATACCTAGGAACAATTAACAAGGCTGTGACATGATGTAAACCAGGAAGGATATAGAGCAAGACATAGACTGCCTAAAATATTTTGTTGATATTAATTTCAGTTTTGTGTATCACCATTAAATGACTGCATGTGTGAGGTGAAGATGTTTTTTGAGTTTTTTGTTGCTGAATTTTTTTTTTGAAAATTTCATGCTATGTTTTGAGAATGCAGTATCTCCTGTAGCATGAATGAAAAACGTTTTCCACCTGGGAAAAAAATGTCTATCCACCCAGCTTTAAACTCCAGATCATTTATTAACCAAACACTCTCAGAGGGGACTCAAGAAAGTCAGTGGGTCGAAGCCATGCTTGGTTAACAAGTAATCGAAATGTATTGGGTAATTGAGGAAGTTGCTGTGATTCTTTGGATGTATGTATTTCATCACACTTCAGGTCTCACAAAATGTTTCAGAGACTTTTCTTCTACATGGGAAATAGTGATGTACTGTTTATCATGATATGCATTTGCTTGGTTACACGGACACACACAGTTTGCAATCATGGGATTACGCGTTTGATTTGGCCAACCAGTCAGTTTGGAGTTTTGGGCTGTATGATCCTAAGGTCAGTCTGTGAGAGTACATGGACGTCATTATTATACCACAAATTATATTATTATATTATATTATATTTGTAATTACTCTGGCCAATAGATGGCTTTGTCACTTCAGCGTCATTTTGGGGTACTTGTTGAAGATGACAGATTCTGTCATTTTTCTTGGGAAGACAATTTCCAAAAGTGACATTTTCAGCTCATTTTAAGAGATTCTAATAACGTCTTAATAAAGTCTATCTATCTATCTATCTATCTATCTATCTATCTATCTATCTATCTATCTATCTATCTATCTATCTATCTATCTATCTATCTATCTATCTATCTATCTACCTACCTACCTACCTACCTACCTATCTACTATCTATTCTACGATTTACCCTATTGGTTTGAATATAAGACAATGCTTTCCTGAAATTGTGTTTGAGAAAAGTAGGGTTAATGAAGTCAAGGGTGAGACCTTAACTGTATGTATTCACAACAGCAGATATTGGGCCTTAAGCAAGGACATTGTCGTGTTAATCAGCCAGTTAATCACTACTGTTCAAGGCCTGTTTGGCTCAGTTTCATCCTCAGTAATGTCACCTAGGGGTAAAAAGAAGAACTTCAGACTATGAAGATTAAAGACCAGCTATCGGAAATTTATCAAATTTAAGTTTAAACAAATTTAGCAGTGTCAATAGTGGTACTAGGGACCCAAAAAAGAAAAAAAAAATTACATTGAACACTAGATATGTCAGTGATCTGTCTTTGCAGAGCTTGTAAAATTTCCAGACAATGGTGAAATAACTGTTTACAGGTAGAAGCATTACATTTTCATAGAAAAATATCAGCAAAATATTTTTCCTTCTGTTATGGATTACAGATGTTCTTTAATTTCCCATTAACCCTACTGAGCTGAAGCAGAACCGGCGATATAATAGTCTGTCTGTCTGTGTGTTGCAGGGAAACCTGAGTGAACTTGGGAAGCTGCTGATGCAGGGATCCTTCAATGTGTGGACCGACCACAAAAAAGGCCACAGCAAGGTACACCAGTACAGTTCAGTATTACTGTCCATACAGAAAGGTACTGAATATGAATATCAGAATGCCATGTTTTGACATCAGTGCACCAGTGTTTTAGCTAGTTTTAGCCCCTTAATCATAAAAAATGTATACAAACATTGACATTTTCCTACCATTCAAAAGAGCCTGTCAGATGTCATGAGGACACACAGTGTGGTGACAGCTAGAACGGATTGAAAGTTAGCCAAAATTTTGGTTTTACTCACAGTGCCTTTAAGATGGATTTGACTGGCTTGGCATCACATTTGTTAATTATAGAAAAAAATAGATTTTTGTCAAAGTTCTGTTATCACTGTGTGATAATGGAGAAGAGTCTCCACTGCATTAGTTATAAAAAGTTAGCTGGACTAAAATGTGACTCAGACTGTGATGGATTAACCAACTCAGGCAAGTTTAGAGAAAGTGCTGATAGATTTTGGATGTGAGCAGAAAATGGAAGGACACTTGGAGCATTGGGAAAAGTGAATTAATGAACGGAGCAGCAGGGTTGTGGTTAGTTGGAACATAATGCATGCAAAACCACTGGAATAGTTGTTTTTTATATACAGTAGTTATATAAACGAGAACATGAACAAAATGGAGTTTAAGATTGCCATATTGCTGTAGTTTGCTGATGATGACAGGACAAATGACTGCCTGATTTCAGGTGAAGGACCTTGCTAGGTTTAAGCCCATGCAGAGGCACCTGTTCCTATATGACAAGATGTTGCTGTTCTGCAAGAAACGAGAGGAGACCACAGATGGACACGAGAAGACCCCATCCTACAGCTTCAAACACTCGCTTAAGGTCAGATACAGATGGGTGTGTTTTTGTTTGTGTGACTGATTTTTCAGTGAGAATTAAGTTTGTGATGCAAAGATGACACTAATCGCAAATCATATCTCAATCGCAATATCTGTCAAAATAATTGCAATATGATGTTTTTACCTTATTTTACAGCCCTAATAAAGACCACTGTAATCTAAACAGTTAAAGTAGAATTTGGTGAACTCAAGTTATGCAGCAACGCAGAAGACTGTGAACTGGTAAATGTGGATGTAAACAATGCTGGATTTAAAACACTTAAATATCAGCTTTGCAAATATTTTATGTGGAAGGAAATGTATTAAACACATTCGTTATCGCTCAACGCACAATGCAATTTGATGAGTCACACTGAAAACATAACTCCACAGGGCATTCCAAATAATGCAAAAAAATATTTTTAATTTATTGGGGTGAGAATGCTAGAAAGGTTAATAATATATACAGTAAAACCAATAATAAGGCATTATTGTAATGACAGACAGAGAAGAAATAAACAAGAAGCAAATTAGATAAATGGTTAAAGCTTCATTTATTGATTTTATTTGTTTTTCTTTTGGCCCCTTGTGTGCTATCTCTGTTGTTATGGCACAGCAGTTTTGAAACTGGGGTCCTGAGACCAACAGGGGTCCTTTTATCATATTTTGGAAGTAACAACAAGGGAAGAAAGAGGGTGGCCATTTGATTGTAATTAAAATGTGATCACAGTTTGATCATTGATTGACCCTGAAGACTTTATTATCTTCAAACCTAAAAATAAAAAAATAGACAAAATAAAAATTAAGACAAAATCTTCTTAAACTGGGGGTCTGTGGTCTAATGTGCATCTATTGTGGAGCTCTATGACATTAAAAAGTTTGGGAATCCCTGAATTAGTCAGCTGTTGCCTATATATTAGTCCAGCAGACACAGAGCATCATCAACAGTAATTTGAAGTCATGTTTTGGACCACTTGAGTCCAAAGTTTACTCTCCCTTTTAGCTCTGTTTTGGCCTCAACCTACTCCTACATGAAACACTTGTATTTTTAGCTGCTAAAAGCTATGCTGTGTTCGCCGGTGGTGAGTAGGCTAATCTGCCTGCTGCTGTAAGCAAAATAATATAATAAATACATTTGTGGGCCAGAAAACCAAAACAAGGCCCTACAGGAGGCAAAAAGCCCTACAAAACTAGGGACAGCTTCAGTCTGGAGATTTGCCACTAGGCTGTAGAAACACTACAGCTTTTGTCCACAGCGGCCAGAATCTACAAAAAATGAAAGTTCCTTGATAAAATTGATGAGTGCAGCATTGATCCCTGGCTTTTCCTGTCCACATGTCATAATGTCCCTGAGAAAGACATTGAGCTCTAAACTGCTCAGTGGGAAGCCCAGCATTGTGTCCTGCCGCCCTGGGTGAACCAGAGGCAAAATTGTAAAGCCCCTTTTCCATTAAGGTTGAAAATTGCTTTATAAATGCAATCTATTTACCATTATGCTGAAGTTGAGTTTGTTACTATATGCGATGTGAAAGGTGTCACTTAGTGTAGTAGTGATGAATAGTATCACTCAACTATTATGATTTGTGATTAACCTACCTGGTTTCCAACAGCAGCAGGCAGCTGTTTGCAGAGAAAATATTCTTTATGCCAACAAAAAACATCTGTATACAGTGCACAATGTTACAATATTAGTGACTAACTGGGGAAGAAAGTCAAATATTTAGCAGCGAAGGAGAGAGAGATTTGGACACAACTCCAAGTGAATGTTGCTCTGTAAACTGCTAAAATGTTAGCTGCAATACCTGGTCCAGTATGCAGCTTGTACAGTGTGATGTAGAAACCTGAAGCCACCAGTGCACATCCACTGAGAATGGACTTTATAGTGAAGTAGGAGACATCTTGTGTCCAGCAGGAAAACTTTAGAAATCAACAACATTTACATATTCAGAGATCCTGGAATTTGTGAATGAGATGGAAGGAGTAGAAAATGTAGTAGAAAAAACGTTTAACTATTAACTAATATATGTTCCAGACTATTAAAATATGTATCTTAATTAGGGATGCTCGATATTGGCTTTTCTGCCGATATCCGATATTCCGATATCTTCCAACTCTCAATTTCCGATACCGATATCAGCCGATACCGATATATGCAGGCTTTTTACACCAAAACTGTTGTTAGGTAACAACATTACATATCTCCTATTGTGGAATTAACACATTATGCCTCATTTTATTGTGATGCCCCACTGGATGAATACATAAATGCAACATGTCTTTCCAAATGTAAACACTGTCTGTGCAAAATAAGAGAACGACTTCAACGTTCATTGAATTAATACTGAAAAGAGTGCTAATGCTAATCACTAGCTACGCACTAATCGCTAGCTAAGCACTAGCTTTGGTTAATGTGTTTAATTGTATTATTCACCTGAAGGAGTGCTAATGTAAATTCTAAACCAATTGTTATTTTGGTTTAGGAACAGCTCAGAGCAGGGTCAAATGTTTAAGGTGCATTGCACTTATTTTGTGTTAATATTAAAATCATTCAGCTTTAAATTGTTTGCTTGTTAGCCATGGTTAGCAACCAACCAGTGTAGCGTAGTTGTTGTTGTTATACGTCATCTAGCGCGCGCCGGTAAACGTCCCATGCTGCGTTCATGCAGGCTCGGAAATGCTGAAGCCTACAGAACAAACATCGGTTATAAAAACCTGATACCGATAATTCCCGATATTACATTTTTAGTGAATATCGGCCGATAATATCGGAGGGCCGATATTATCGGACATCCCTAATCTTATTATATGTCTGGAGGGGTTCTTTCAGTTAAAAATAGCCCAATCTAAAAGTATTATTATGAAGGATTATTCAACACCACATTTCGAGTTGAACTAAATCATTTTCACTCGCTAACTGTACAAGCTGTTTCTCACGGCATGTAAACAAATGCTGTTCTTTACCAGCAGTGGATTGCTGACATTTCTGCCTGTAAAGCCCTGGGGAACTGGAGCTGTCATTGATAAATATGCTGCACAGCTCCTCAAGTTCCTATCCAAACAAGTCTACAGAAAGTGAGTCGCAAAGGAAGTCAAGTATGAAAGAAATTCAATCACTTCTCCTTTTTGTTCAGCAAAACAGCTCAGTATATCATGCTTGTATTTCTGTCTGTGTTGTAATGACCTCAGATGTACTGAAATCCACAGCCTGTGACCTGAGAATCAGCAGTAATGAAATGATGCAGCAATGAAACCGCTGAATGAGCAATTAGCAAAGCTCCTTTCACTTACTTAGCTACTATTAGAATGAACAGATTTCTATCTGCATCCTGACAAATTATGAGACTATTATTACCCAGTCTTGTGTTAGTCCTGCTCTCGACACTATGTGACTTCCCTACCCTGTGTGAGTGTCATACGCTGAAGCCATAACTATATAGTTTGAATGTGTTTTAAATGGTAGTTTTTTAGCAAACATTAGGAGGAAATAATGCTTTTGTTTGGGACTATTTTCAGCGGCAGATTAGTATACATAGTGGTGTAGTAGGCCATTTTCAGCATGTGGGAGTAAGTCTAAATAGACTACAGTGTGTGTGTGTGTGTGTGTGTGTGTGTGTTTTCATGGTAATGAAGGAACATGTCACCCGGTATAACAGTGTGGCTCATTGATGTGTTTTTACTAGTTTTTGGACAACAATGGAGCTCTGTGGTACAGGAAGAAGAAGAAGAAGATATATTTAAGGCTTTGATACAATCACTATACTTGTTAGTAGCATGCAGTAATATGTATTCATTGTTGGTTCTGGTCTTTTCATGGGAATTTCTGACAATAAGAAAGATACAGAATATTGCCAGCCTCATCCTGGAATAATTTAAGTTTATTTTGTGCTGACAATGTGTATCATATATTCTTTTTTGCCTACAAATTAACTGACAACAGCAAATCCAGTGGAGCTGTTTCACACAGGTTTGCACAGGTTGGCTTAGTTAAAGTTTAGTCTTCTATGAGCACTATACTTATTATGGAAACTTCAAGGCAACATAATACATACACACTGCACAGAGGGCTTGAAGTGTGTGTTTGGTTGGTGGCCAAATAAATATTTTAGCTCTGGGGAACAAGCTAATCTGCACATGTCAAGTTTTTGGGTTATTTTGTGTCATGTTCATTTTTAAAACTTTTCATTCATTGCTGCCTGATGATAAAGGTCTGCTGCGTCTCACAGTCTCTCTGGCCTACTGTCTTTGTCCAGATGAGCTCCGTGGGGATCACAGAGAACGTCAAAGGTGACTGCAAGAAGTTTGAAGTGTGGTACAATGGCAGAGAGGAGGTTTACATCATTCAGGTACGTTGATGCAAACCTTTCCTCAGTGCTTTGTGTTGAGCTTCATCCGCTTAAACAGTGTTAAAAGTAACTAATTATATTTACTCAAGAGCTATTCTTAGGTTAAAATATTATACTTGTACTTGAGCATATCCATTTTATTCTGCTTTATACTTCCACCCCATTACATTTCTTTGTCAGATGCAGTTACTTTACAGGGCTTACAGATTTTAGCTTATGAAATGAAATGCATTGTTAAGCTTAAAACAGTGGTGCCTAAACATTTGGAACGCATAAACAGTATCTGGTTGGAGCCAAAAGGATATTTCTCACATGGTGTCATTTCACTAACTGTTTGAGGCCAAATTTTAGTATTTCAGAACAAAACAGCAAATATTAGGTCATCTGATGACCCATCAGATTTATCTGGTGACCCTTTGGAGGGGCCCAATGTAAGTAGATAAACTAGCTAACAGTAAAGTGCTGCATTGATTCATCAGTATTAAAAGTCTAATAATTTCATATAGTCATACATCAGTCCCAGGGGACATTTTACTGTAGAATGAGTACTTTCACTTTTGATACCTGCAGTACATTTTGCTCATAATGCTTCTGTACTTTTACTTTAATAGGGTTTAAGACTTGTAACTGAGTATTTGTTGAACTTATTCCAGTACTGCTTTTAAAGATGTTCACATATGGAAGAGTTTTTAATGTAATACTCTTGTCTTGTCAGGGAGAATACATTTATTGTATATTTGCAAATGGACCAGAACAAGCTTAATTTGAAAACCTGCTGATGTAAATTAACACAGATATTAAAATTATATATCTAATCATAAATATTTTGTGTGTAAGGTTATTTTTTACCAGTTTTATGGTATCAATGAAAATATCATAAAACTGAAAAAACTTTTAAAAAGTTCCAGTTAATATTTCATTTTGTCATAGACACTGCATGGGAGGCTTCCAGTGATCTTTCCCACAATCCTCCCCTTGGGGGCAGTGTTGCACCACACAGCTCCCCCACTGAACGCTTTAACACTCAGAAAAACAGCATTAGTGTTAAGAGGCTTTTGTTGTACGTGTTGCTTGATGTATGTGTGTGCGTATTCTTCCCCAGGCTCCTTCCATGGATGTGAAAAATATGTGGGTGTCAGAGATTCGTAAAGTTCTCACAGGCCAGCTAGAGGCATGCAGAGGTATGTACGCGCGTGCGCGCGCACACACACACACACACACACACACACACACACGTACTTATGCACTTGAGAATATCTCCTTACTTGTGTATTTTCATCAGTTTCAACAAAGGACAGGCACGTGTCTGTACTGTATAAATCCATACATCTGTTAGACAGTACACAGGTAACCTCATACATACATACACAGGAACAATGAATTTCTAGTCACACATGTTGCTATTGCTGCTATTTCATTGCATCTCCATAGTTCTGGAGTCATTTTCCCACACTGTACGTCTCAGGCACATGTCTATAAAGAATTTTCAATAAATCTTCATGTACTATTTATTTGATTTTCTATTCCATTTTTCCCATACTGTGGCTCTATAATTTTTTTGTTCCCTGCTGCCACAACTCAATTTCTCTCTGTTATCATGAAGATTTTCTTGTCAACACTGGTATCTATCAGCACATCTTGGAGTTATCCTTTGCTGCAATCTGGAGATAGGCTTGTCACTCTCTTGTACTGACTTCCAAGTCAGTGAAATGTCCTCTTTCTCATACCAAACTGCAGACAGAAAAACAATTTAATGACAACATACAATCACAGTCCACTGCTGACGTGCACATAAACAGTACATTGCATATACAGTGGTCAACCCAGTCACTTGCAAATTACATTTATATAGTCGTAATTTGTTTTCCAAATCATGTTGTGGTGAGAACCGTATGGAAGCCCTGAAAGCACAATGAACCATTTTCTCCATTTTGGGAAGAAAAAGGTTTTTCTAAGATTATCTTTCAATGTTCCTTAATTTTTTAATCATTTTGTTTTTTTTCTCATGAAGTTACAATATTTAGTTAGTAACTTTTTTACAGGGTAATTTATTGTGTGTTAGCTATATGTACCTTGTGTTTAAACTGCATGGAGAAATTAAAACTCACCTGGAAAAAAACATGAATGCTTTTAGTCCTTTTCAGAACATTGGGTAGAGATTCACTTCAGCCCTTTGTGGCGGAAAAGAGTATTACAACAACAAACAATTGATCTGACACACACAACAAAAAATTTAATTAAAAAAATTAAAAAAGTAATTTAGAGAGGCCTGTTGTTATGCCATAAACCTAGGAAAGAAAACAATTTAGATCAGACTTTTCGGACTTGGCAGTCAGGGCTTTTGTAGAATGTTATTGCTGCCTGGTTTATGTCCACAGGCAACATTTTTCCAGTGACTAAAGTGTAAGGACTTTACATAACCATAAAAAAAGTTTAATAATGCTGTAGTCGCCATGAGTGGATACTGCAAAACTGGATGTTTTGGCGCTAAACAAATTAAATATACAATATGTCAGTGAACTTCCTACTGATACCTTCAATGTCAACGTTTTGTGTTATGTTACTTTTTCCTTATTAAGCTGATTAAACAAAGCATAATACAGGCTACATTACGTTTCTGACAAAAAGTTTGTTTCTCTTTCAAATTCGTTGTAAACATAATTGGAGACAGGGTTGCATATAGCAGAACCTACTGTACTCAGGAAATACAGGATTGTGGTTCCTCCAAAGAATGCCTAACTGTGAATGAAATAATCTAAAACCTAAAATAAATCTTCTGCTAGCAAAAGCCCATTAAAAAAGTGAAATGAAATGGTAATACATGTGTGCCTGTGCTAAAATAATTCATTTATTAAAGCATAATTTCAATAATTAACATAAAATGTACACTCAAACACCTTATAGCACCTCCTGAAAGTTGTGGGAAACATAAAGAAATGGTCCAAATTAAAGAAGCAAGGATATCCTGACGTTTAGTATGTGTCAAGCTTCAAAAACACAGTATCCTACATTTCCCATAATGCAACTTCATTCCTTCCTTTCCTTGTATGCTTACATCTAGCAAACTTCATATCCAGTTTGTAACAGGTTTTCTGTCAAAAAGATACACATAAACCTATATTATATTATACAGTGTAAATATAATTCAATTTCACAAAAAATGGTTTAAACTGATTACATAGAAAATATAAGTAAGTAAAATCAACTTAAGTTTCTAAAGAAAAATTCTTGATCAAGTAGCAAGTTAGTGTCACTTAAAATTACTAATAAAATCTGCTTAATCAATAATCTTTTTTTTTAAACTTTAACTTAAAATTTTCCATGTAATCCGTTTCAACAATTTTTTAGTTAAAATAACATATCACATTACAGTGTATATAATGCAACAATGCATAATTGAGTCATCATTTAAGTAATTTATTTGTACTGTTAATTGACCAACATGACTTCAGGCTCTAGGAAACAAAGAAATATTATTTTTTTCCACAATTTTCTTACATTTTATAAATTAAACAATTAATAAATAAGAAAACAATGTTATTAATAACAGTGTAGTCTAGAGTAAAGAACACAGAAACATAAATCCTCAAACATATATGAATTTACACACACAGCAACACACACCCTCTCTGTACCAGTAAGCATCAGTTGTCCACAGTTCCACTCTGTGGTCCTGACTGACAGGAAAACCACCATCTGTGAGCCGCACACTCTGCCCGTCTGACAACCCGTCTGTGTGTGTGTGTGTGTGTGTGTGTGTGTGTGTGTGTGTGTGTGTGTGTGTGTGTGTGTGAGCAGAATGACTAATAACAACCCTGTCATGAAGCCTGGAGAGCAGGGGCTGTAGAGGGCTCTGACGGTCCAGTGCAGCCAGTGTGTGTGTGTGTGTGTGTGTGTGTGTGTGTGTGATTTACACCTCTGACTCCATGTAAGGACGGTAGAGGAAAGACAGAGCGAGAGAATGAAATTGGTCTGGGAAAAGGAGAGGGAGGGGATTGAAAGTGATGGGGAGACAAGAGAAGAGGGCTGATGAATGATGGGTAGCGAGAGACAAAAAGACAGACAGAGAGAGAGAGAAGAGATTTTCAGGGTGGAGATGGAGGATGAGAGGCAGCACTGAGGGAACGAAGGGACGGACGTGAAAGGAGGGAGGGGCAGGTGTGAGGAGAAAGCATGGTTGAGAGGAGGAGGAGGAGGAGGAGGAGGATGAAGGGGAACTGCAGTCATTTCAGCTCTGTGTGCTGAGAGAGGGAGAGAGAGATGCATTAGGTAATAATGGACAGCTTAAAGGAACATGGCAGTTTATTAAAAGGTGGGCCTTTTCACCAAATCATTTTAGGTCCACTCACTTACTTTTTCTGGAACTTTCAACCTCATCTCCATGACAACTGAGCCAACTCTAGTGAAGACCACAAGATGCTTAAAAAGCTGCTAAATGAAAGTTCATCCATGATCTATTTCCAGGGTCAAGGCTGAACTTTCACACTTGACTTGAGAGGAGAAAAAAAAAATAAAAAAAAAAATTTTTTTTCCCCCTCCTATTTTTTTTTTTTTTTTTTTTTTTTTTTTTTTTTTTTTTTTTAAAAAAAAAAAAAAAAAAAATATTTAAAAAAAAAAAAAACTTTAATGCACATAATGAACAAATGTGAACCAATGTGGTTCTGAGGGATGAGGGGTGGGGTAGGTTCGAGGATGAAGGAGTTCGAGGGATGAGGCATGAAGATAGGTTTGAGGGAAAAACATGGTTTGAGTTTTCCCAGGACTGAGGGATGGATGAGGTCGGAGGATGGATGTGTTGAAGGTAGGAGGAATGAAGGTGGTTGGCGGATCGATGAATGGATGGAGGGGTTGGGGATGTAAGAGGAACTGAGTGGTGGTTTTGACTATCTTTGCCTAGGCCCCAGTGGTTCCTGAATTTGGATAAGAGGGGGCAAAAGAAGGGTTTGGGTGGGGGGATGTAATGATCAAGGAGGGGGGGAAGGGAAAAGGTATTTTTTAAAATTTTTTGGGGGAAAAAAAAAATATAAGGGCGGGGTTTTTTTCCCCCCCTTTTAAAAAATTCTGTTAGACTAGTGGAAAGAAAACAGCCAAAATACAAATAGGTAGGTGTTCATTTTGTCTATTTGCATCTGTGCATTTCAAAAAAGTTAGCACTAGATAATGCCTCTGCTGCATATCTAAACTCAATTTCAGAAAACTTGTCTTAATGTAAGTAATCAACTGGGGAGGTTTCATAGTGATATCTATAGTATAGATAGTGATCATTTTACCCTGTTAACCTGTAGTGTCTCCCTGCGAGTTTTATTTTCATACTATTGGTCATTGTGTCTACTAGTAATGATAATATTGTTCTCACCAAAGTCATTGCTGATATCTCGGAATGTGGGGACATCACTAAAAAGAAGCGCGTTGGAGCAAGAAACACAACTAGTCAACCGCCAACTGCTTAACCACATTATAGGAAAACTTTATTGTCCACAAAGTGGAAATTTATCTTCGTTTTCACCATAGGTGCACCCTGTCATAAAAGTACATGCGATTTATAAAAATACATCTCACAAAAAATTTACAAAACCCCTCTCATCCCCCCTACGCTGAGCTGAGGCAGCTCAGGAGCACTTTCAGCCGCAGAGTGATCCAGACTGAGCCTCAAAGCGGTTTGGTGGCTTATTAGTGCCATCAGCCATCTGACGTCACAGCACCCAGTACCTCCAACCCCCGCTGTGCACAAAACTGCAGCAAAGTCAGGAGCACCACTATGTATGTTGTCTGTCTGGTCCTACTGACCTTGACGGCTTTTGCCCAATTCATCTAAAACACTGGCACATCACACGTGTGTACGCACAACAATGGCAAGTAGACCAAAGTGACTACTTGCCGGTCTGTAACAGATGTTTGGATCTTGTGTTTCTTGCCACATCGAAGCAGTTACCTTGGTGACTATAGTGTTATTGTTACCAGTAAGAATGGTGGACAAAAGTCTAAAAGTAAAACTCATCTACCCGCTTGGTTAGATTTGTATGTAATTTGGGGAACTGGACTAGAATTGTAGACCAAACAGGGTCTGCTGAGCCAATATTCCTGCATCATTATATTATACACAATAATAGATACCAGTCGTTGAAAATAATCAGAAATTTTCCTTTTAGATTGATAAACTTGAGTGTCGCAATATTTTGTTTTGTGATATTGTATTGATTCTCAAAACCTCTGTGTCGATTTTTGTGTTTAAACCCCCAAACCGCAATGTTAGAAATCTAAACTGATAAACAGAAATGTTGACCCCATTGTTTTGGTTGTTCTTTATATGACAGTTTTCCTAGATCCCAGATTATTGCCAATACACAGCCCTGGTTGTTTTATCATGTAATTATATAAACTTTTGACAACTTTGTTTGAGTTGACATTGAAACTACATGCGATACTCTACAGGGGCTCTACTTAGTAACCTTGAGTTGAACGTTTAAAGGCTTTAATGCAGATCGCGAATGTTTCCTCCCACACTGAGCACACTCTTGGTTAAGAGGATTGGCATTAAATACAAAATGGATGCATCTATAATAAAGATAAATATTATTCTACAGTACCAGGCTCCCTCTTACACTCCATAGTCACTGCTCCAGACTGTCAGCTCCATTCAGAGAGCTTGAGGCTGCATGGCATAGCCTGATCTGAAACGCATCACAAAATATTCAGCAGTTTTGTGTTGATGCATGCATCACCAACTCATGAAGCACCTTCTTTTTAATGCTATAAGAAAATGAGACAAGATGAGATCTTAATGGTTTATTGATCTCCTGGAGGAAATGGGGGCTTGCAGCAGAATAATTGTTATTATACAGCATGAAAATGTAAAAAGAAAATAACATAAAAATAAATATAACTTATATGAGGTACTTACTTAATAATTACTTATTCAGCCAACTATTTCACTGTGCTAAGTAGTCTGCATAAGGGAGATGTAGGGATTGCATACACGTATGGATTTACTCAAATTTTTAAAAAAACAAATAAAACATAAAATATAAAATATGTACAATATGTGAAAAGAAATGTAAAGAAGGAAGTATAAACTGGAAGTATTCACTCGGAAATGAGCAAAAGTTCACAGTCTGCAGTGTAACAATATTTAAAATGTGCAAAATGGTGTCCAAAAGATGTACTCCAAGAAAGATTTGCGGAACTAACAGTTTAAATATTTGGGGTTCCCAACCTTTTTGGATTGTGACCCCTTTTCCTTCACAGATGAATGTAAGAGAATACTTTTTAGAGGCCCGAGGAAATTGTTGTTGAAAAATTGCCATAGTCTTTGTGATGTCACCCATACATGAAGAAGAAGAATCCCCTATTGGGGAAATTCTTCTTTTCACTCTTTTTATTTATTATTCTTACACACACACACACACACAGGCTGAAATACACACTTCATGCACTTGTGGACATGCAACAGGGAGAGAGATGGTGGAGTGATGGGCTGCCACGTTAGCGGCACCCCATGAGCAGTTTCTTGGGATAGGGTTAGGGTAGGTGAGATTTGAGCCGGCGACCCTCTGGTTCCCAAGCCAAGTACCTACAAACTGAGCTACTGCCGCCCCCTTTTTTTAACATTTCTAAAGAGTTAAATCTACAGTAGGTAATTTTATACATATTATTTTTTGTCATATTCACTGAAACTTTCACTATATCCTGACAGTAGTACATGAGACAGATAATCTGTGAAATAATCAGGTGTAAATAATAATTTTGTATAAAACTTAATATAATAATAACTAATGAAATCTAAACAGGTGTACCGTTGTCATGAACGGGGAAATTAGCTATAGAGACCAAACTGTTTCTTTAAACCAGGCTGTAAACATGTTTATTTCTGATGTAAAGTTGGGCTTTTAAATATGGGGATTGACTCACTGCTTGAGCCAGCCTCAAGTGGCCCTTTGAGGAACTGCAGTTTTGCATGTTTTTCATATTCACATTAACAAGCTGACACTGCCAGGCTGTGTGTGTAACTGTTACTCCTCATTCCTCCTTCTCCTCCTCTTCCTCCTCCTGCTAAGCTTCTCCTCTTACACCTCAGTGTGACCAACCTTTATGAATAAAACATCACAAGACCCATGATGAAAAAATATACCCCTTTTGCTGAGTACAATATTTGGAGCATGTGTAATGGCTCCGTGCTGAGTCGGCATTTCTGCGACAGGTTCATCGGTTGCTTGGAACAGGGGGTGACAAGCCAGATCATTCACAGAGCTTGGTATTTCACTTATGTGAGCTATGCGTTCGGCCAAGGCTGCGCCTCACTGTCTGCACTTATTTTACTAGATTCTTCTGCAGAGATTTCCTGTCACGCAGCAGAATCCTGTGGCGGGCCGGATTTGTTAACGTTGCATTTATGAGAAGCCTCTTGTTTAGATATGGGGTGATATCTAAAGTTGTATGCCCGGTGACTTCAGTGTCGGGATGTCTCCTTCTTTCTTTATAGTGCCACAAAGTGATTTCTCTCGGGCCAATAAAACAGCTTACGGAGTTGACACAGCAGTTTGAGAATAGCTCAGAAATGTTAGAATGGAAGGTAGAGGGAAGGGTCAGAGAGGCTTTTTGGTGTCAGAAACAGCCTGAAAGCCATAACTTTCCATTTCACAGCTGATCAGAAAAACAGTAGTGTTAGATCTTTTTGTATCCGGTCCTGTGCTGTATGTTCTTCTCTATGATTCAATTTCTTGTCCTGTGGGGACTCACCTTGAACCAACAAATACTTTACTTTAGTTTTAATTCATTTGAGGGGCATGATCAATTATTGTAAATTTTTTTGCATCATTGCACGCCTTCCCAACATCAAGACTGGTTCATGTCATACATGACAGACTTAACTTGGCGAAAACACTGTAAAAGACGTAACAAAGTAACAAGATGACAGACCAGAGAGGGAGACTCAACCCTATTTCGGAATCAGAATCCGTTGTATTGCCAAGTAGGTTGCACAGTTTTTGCAGGGATGTGCAAAATATTGTCCAGGGAATGTGCAAGTTCACAGTATGATGCATAGATTATATTTGCAATGTGCAAGATATAATCCAAGAGATGCACATAACTGTAACGAAGGTTTTGGTCCAGATGGACTGCAGCCTTCCGCCAGAGGGAAGTGACTCAAAGAGGTTATGGGAGGAGTGGGAGGTGTCAGCCATTTTGAGAGAGTAATTTTGACTTTCATACTTTGAGTACATATCAGAGCCTGTACTTTTTCACTTTTATTTGAGTAAAGAATTGGTATTTCTGCTTTTACCTGAGTATTTTCTTACACAAGTATCTGTACTTTTACTTGAGTAAAGTCTTACATTTATCAGGTTGAAACCCTGTTAATAAGTTGGATGTACAGTTTGGGGCATCAGTCAAAATGTTATAAATATATATTACACACTGTGAGCAGGGTTAAAATACTTGGGAGAAGGATATTGGCCAAGGAATCTTTGATGGCTGGTGGCTTCTTAAATCAGCTATTGTAACGTTTTAACCCTCCAGCACATCGTAGTGCACAAGGTGACAACGGGGACACCAGCATCCGCAGTTCTACTCTCTGCTTTGGTTCTTTTAACCAATTCCCAATCTTTTCCTAACCTTAACCAAGTAGTTTAAACTTCCTGAGACCTTAATCATTGAGGTGGCAGATCAGATCATGCTCACATAAATCATTTCTGTAGCAGTCATATGGATCATTGTAGAAAGTACTGAAGAAACAATATTTGTTTGAAGATATCCCTCTTGTGTTTACAGAAGCCAGCCAGCTCAACATCTTCGGGGCCCCCATGAGGTGAGCCGCCAACTCCATCTACAAAGTGACTTGATGAAAAAGCTAAAATAAAAACGGATCTTAAACTTTGCACTTGTCAGAACATCCTGTATTACAACGTCAGATGGGGAACTTGAAGATAATGGGGACATTCTGCATTAGCCATCTCATTGGCTCACACCGGTTTTACCTGTCCCTCTGATCCAATAGGAATGTGCGTAAGATGGCGCTGAGACAGTCTGATTCGTCAAGTCCAGAGTCAGGATTCAGGAGGACCAACCCCAGCCCTAATATGAGGCAGAAGAGAGGTGAGAGTTACCTTAGAACAGATCCAACTGGAATGAACTCTGTTCATTCTTTTCTTTTGTTCTGATTCTGAGGATCAAACAGGTGCCATTCCCTTCTGGAGTGAGTGTAAAGAGAGAACAAAGTGTGAACCATTTAGGTTGCAGATTGCAACCACTGTTAAGTTTACTGTGGCAGCATAGTGCAAAACGCAATAGGCCAGGTGAGACAGCACACACGCGCGCACACACACACACACACACACACACACACACACACACACACACACACACACACACACACACACACACAATCTCATCCAAGACTGGATGCTGTACTTCTGTGTGCACAGACACAGACAGACACAGACACACACACACACACACACACACACACACACAATCTCCAAAAAACTACTTATCAACCCTTGTGCACACAGACCAAAAGCATGCAACGATGGAGGACACACACACACACACACACACACACACACACACACACACACACACACACACACACACACACACACACACAGCACAAACACTGTTGTCAACCACAGTGGGGATAAGATAACAGGTACGATTTCACGCTTGTGAGAAAGCCCTCGGTGTTACTTTCCAGTGAGTGAGAATATCAACAGTCTATCAGCAACGGTTGTGTTGACCAGAGCTTGTGTGTGTGTGTGTGTGTGTGTGTGTGTGTGGGTGCAGTGAATCCAAGACTTAAGTCAGGGCGACAGGAGGTCTCCTCCACAGTCATCTTCAGGGAACCACCTTGTCTCCTTCCTTCCTTTTTCCCTTAATTCCATCAGTCTTCCCTCCATCCCTGTTTATTTATCTATCACTTCTTTCTCTACAGCCTTGCTACCCAACTCCCTCCTTTTATACATCCTTGTCTTTTTAGATTGCTTCTATCAAATCAACACAAATCATTCTTTTAACTATATAGCAAAACTCATGTATTTTCTACTAAAGCAGTGAAACATGTTATTACAGAGACTAGAAATTCTTACTCTAAATTTAAACCACAATAAAGACATTGGAGGCGGACGAGCACTGCTGAAGCGGACGTCTGTTTAATCCACAAACCAGCCATCCTTTCAGCTGTACAGCTATCCCGGGGTGCTGAAGACTCAGCAGCGGGTGCCAGGCACACAGTTTTCACCGGGGTGACTGATGTCAGAAACACCATCACAACCACCCATCTGCTCAGTGGACAGAATAGTTCTGAGCTGACTGTGAGACGTAAACAGGAAGAAAACAGGGGTTGTTTTTACTTGATGAAGCTTCAGATGCCAAACCAGAATGCACAACCATATAGACAACATTGCCGTAAGGCTAAGTCATGAGCTTGAGCTTTTATACCTTGGATAGCCAAAAGACGTTAATCAGATTCAAAAATCAGAAGTGTTTTAAACTGCATTGCTGTGTCCTCACTCAGTGGTTACAGTCCGAACACAGTGTCTGTGCCTTGTAGGAAGCATGAACACCACCAGAGCAGGGGCGTGTCCAGACTTCTTTCCCTGAGGTGACACAAGTGGGGCACAGTGACTTATGCAGAGGTGCATGAAGTATGTGTCTGAGCTTTCCACTCATTCCCAATTCATCAGCAGTATTGAGCCCCCTTCCAGTGCTAGCATGACATGGTTGGTACAACTAATGCATTAGTTAATCTACTTACACCAGTATCTTCATTCTAGCTTTATTACAGAGCCCGTTACTGGACATGCCCCTGCACTAAAGCACCCTATGTCTGAGGTTTAACTTAAAACTGTTGCACACCTGGTTAGATAGAGCTTTAAGGTCACAGAGTCCATCTCTACAGCCCTGTTTAACTATGAAGTTGATGAGACTCAGGCTACTTAAAATCTGACATGGAACAAATTAGTCCCATGCGTTGTTGTAAACAGGCTAACAAGGATCTGGAATACCACAAACTAAGTTTATCACCTGAGTTGGTTGAACCTGGTGAATAAAAGTTATAATAGTTTCAATCGTTCAGTGACACTTTCACAAGTGTCAAACCAGTTTTAATTGTGTAATTACATTATAAAGGTGACACATCTGTCTCAGTTTATTTCAGACTAGGTTTATCTGAGAGACTTTTGAGGTTAATCCATAGTAAGCAGTCAGTATATTGATGAATACAGCAGCATAATTGCAGTGCCTGCTGGTGTGTAGTAAGTTTGTGAGTCAAGACACTTGTTCAGTCACCTGAAGGGTCATAAGTCAAATGAAAAAAATGACATAGAGTAAAGTTATCCTTTATTGATCCTGTTAGGGAAATTCATTCTCTGCATCCAAAGTGTTTAGAGCAGTGGGCAGCCACTTTGCAGTGCCTGGGGACTCCCGTTCCAGTGCAGAGGTCAAGGGCACTGACAAATGCTAATTCTCAGACTCCAATTACATTAAAGGTCCAGTGTGTAACATTGAGGAGGATCTATTGGCAGAAATGGAATATAATATTCATAGGTATGTTTTCATTGGAGTATAATCACCTGAAAATAAGAATCATTGCATATTTGTTACCTTAGAATGAGCTGTTTTTATCTACAGACGCAGCAGGTCGCCTTCCCTGGACTCCAAGGGACAAACCAAACACCGGCTGTAGATAGGGACGTTCATGTTTTTTGCACGTTTTGTGGCCACCGTATGTTCTCCTTCACACATGAAAGGGCAGGGTGAAATGACAAAGTTGCCATCTGCAATTTGTAACAGTTTCCACAATACTCGACGTCTATCACTAACACATCAACCTTATCAAGACCGGGTGTACGGCTGGTATTTTAGTAGCCACACATGATCCAAATGTTACTGTTTAGTTGAGAGGCAAATCAATTCACAGCAGGTGTACTGCTCAACTAATACGAGACAGGTTAGCCGCTGTCTGATGACGTTTCTATTGCATCTAGGCAATACAGTATCTTAAAGGCACATTTCACAACTTTGACTGTTACAAATTACCACTAAATGCCACTAAATGCTACACACTGGACCTTTAAGCCGTCTTAACTTAAAACGACATTTTTTTGTGAAAACGACTTACCATCCACTCTGGGGTTTCCAGGTGATTTTAGTAGAGACCTCATAATTTACAAATGTGCTGTGAAGGTACTTTCAGAGTCAGTGTGGATTAATACATTTGTCAAAATAGATGCAGATTTCATATTTTGTTCAAAAGAAGCTCTAAGTAGCTGAAAGTACCCTTGTACATACTTAACGTCTCTGCTTTCTTAATGCATTTCTTCTCCACTCTACCCCTGCTCTCACTCAGAATTGGCTTTGCACACTACACACACACACACACACACACACACACACACACACACACACACACACACACACACACACACACACACACACACACACACACACACATTCTTCCAGTCCCCACTGCTCGTATGAAGGTAAAGGTTAGGGACAGTTGACAGTGGCTGTTGTTTTTGGTCTCACCTCTCAAATGGGTGTCTGGCCACTATTATAAAACCAACTGTCCAAACCCATACCTGTCTCCTCACATCCGTTCACACCTCCTCCTCTTTTCTCTCTCTTCCTCCTCTGTCACTTTCTCTTTTACTCTCCTTTAACTCTGTCACCCTGTCCTGCCACTTTCTTTCTCTCCGTCCCCTCTCTCTCTGCTCTTTGTCTCTTCTCCACCCACTGCTTTTTAACATTCCACTTCTCCTGTAAACTAATTTCTCCTTTTTTCTCGCGCTTCCCCTCCCTGCTGCCTCATCACTCCCCTCCCTCCGTCTCACCGCTCATCCCAGGCTGTTTGTTTCTCTACACGTTGAATTATTGGTCCAAAATAATAGCGCTGTTTGAATTTTAGATTTTAGTATTAGGCTGTAATATTTCTCACCCCACACACACACACACACACACACACACACACACACACACACACACACACACACACACACTTTTTACTGACATCTCAGCACTGATCAGCTGCTTCCCACTGATGACTAACACAAGCGCATCCTCATTTGTCGGGTTATTCAGGAGGTGTTGGCTCCAGACATGTGACACTGTGTGTTTGTATTTGTTGGAGAGCAGGATTTTAGATTCATCAGTCATTTACACCTGATGTCTAACTGTGATCTCCATCTGGTCTTTATTTATTTACATTTCGGCTAATTAACACGATTAAAGGTATGCCGAATGATCTATTAGCGGTTCCTGTGAGAACTATCGCTGCATTACTTTGATACTAAAGTAAACTCAAAGAAAATGTGATGCTTCTCAGGCAAGTTTTGGAGTTTAATGAGCATCTTTTTTCTGTGATTACTCAGCTGGTTTATGGATGATGAATATGACAGTTTGAGATAATGACATCCATCCACGGAAACTGTAAATCACACCTAAATATAAAAATATCATGTCTGTTTGTTCAGATATGAAGTGTTTCAATCTGGCACTAAAGGTTTTTAAATACATCATCAATAATCAGTTGCCCCCTATATGCTACAGTAACTAACTTTTTAGAACGGCATGCGTCTTTCTTTGCCTCTCTTCACATTTTATTAGCAACTGCATATATAGTCTTAGGCCTTCGTTCAGACTGCCAGCCCAGATCTGTTTTTGGCATATCAATATTGAATCCAGATTGATTTTATATAGTCTGGACAGCAAAAAAAAAAAAAAAACCCACATGAAATGCGAGCCAAGCCACATTTAAAGGTGGTTTGAAATGCGATTCCAATCAGATTTCTACAGATGCGTCTCAGTTTGGATGCTCTAGATGCTCATATCAGATTTCAGAGTGTCTTTTGAGTCACTCAGACCGCTACACACACCAACAACCTCAAATCCAGAGTGAAAGTGCATCAGAGCGTGGGTTTCCACAACAACCCGGAGTAGAGTTCTGCCTACATTTCATTCATTTCTTACCCGTACCAGTGAATTTATATAAATATTTGTTTTACCAGCTGCTTAATATTTTTGTGGGACTCTTTGAAAAAAAAAGGATGGAAATGAATTCAAACTTTTCTTTATCATTGTTGTAGGCTTTCTAAGTGATTCTATTTATTTATATATTTAAGTGTAGTTACTCCAATTTTTGCCATTTTTTTTTCCTCTAAGATAGAGCAAGACTGATCTTAGAAAATGTGTAAAGATAAAAAGAATTTAAAATTTTATTTTTGTTAAAATAAATTTTTTAAAAAATTTTTTTCAGTTGTAGGGAAATGGAAAGGCCATGGTCTCAGCTCTGTTCTCACTGTCATGTAGGCTTTCATTATGGTGAGGAGGGAGATTAGTTGTGGGTTGGGTATACAGTATGGTTAGCTTTAATGGCTCGTGTTCACTTACTCTACACTCCAGAAAATTAAACTTACACACACACACACACACACACACACACACACACACACACACACACACACACACACACACACACACATATTTGTCTACGAGAGAGAGCATCAACCCCTCTTGAACCTGGCCGACGAGCTCTGAACGTTCTCCCACAGCAGCATGTGTCACTGTTACCGTCAGCCCAGACAGACAAACACACAGATGGACAGACGGAGCAGGAATAGATGAGTCACTCTGATGTACAGATCAGAATACTGGAAGAGAGGCTCAGAGAGTATTTTACAGAGACTTCATGTTGAATAACTTTTTCATGGATGAGCAGAAGGTTTAAATGGGTGAGTGATTTCACTTAGTGTCTCTCTTCTGTGCTGCTGACTTTTTCTGCTGACATGCTGCTACTTCTGCCTCTCTTCAGATATATTCTTACGTGTGTGCGCGCTTTTTCGCTCTCTCTCGTCTCACAATTGGGAAGTATCGAGTGGCTCCACTCGAGCCATTCAGGGTTGATTGCCTTGCTCAAGGGCAATTCAGCTGCAGTTGTTAAGTAAGGGTGAAATGGTTCTCATTACTTCCTCCCAGACTGTTTCCGGATCAAGGATTTTTGCCACAATCTCCATTTTTACCATTTATCCTACTAAGTTGCATCTCCCCTGCAGGAGCTGGCATCAGTATTGACAATGGAACTATAGTGTGTGTAAATGTACCCCATCCTCTGATTGTTTTGTAAATTAATGTGAGATTAATCTGAGCCCTTCAATAGCCTTTCATGGTCACCTTAAGCATGATGTAACTATGGAACTATGACTACTGAGTTACAGTCATTTCCGTTACACCTGAGAAAAATCCGTCTGCGGAGGAAGAGATGCCATTGCTAGTAAATGGACCTTCAGTCAAAATACATTTTTTCCAACCGTTTTTTCTTTGGACTTTGGAAACAACTAGATCTAAGTTGCATTTAGTTTTGACATCTTCTCCATCCCTCTTATTTAGGACCGTGGACACTTTCAGGACATTTTTAACTTAATACTATATATTATTATTATATATTATAGTATATTTCAGTAGGGATGGGCAAAATAAACAACCTAAACACATTTCCTCAATCACATCACTGTTAAAACAATTGTTTTATTTAAAATCAATCATACTGTATGGCTGTTCTTTAGGGACAGATTCCCAAAATAGGTACAGCAGAGTTGGTAAACTAGCTAAACACACCACATGCTATTGTTTAGTATAAAAGTCAATACATAGACAGGAGACAGTGCTCCAACAGAGGAAACTTTAAGGGCTCTATCTTGCACTCAGCGCAATTGACTTTGTACACTGGCGCTTGTATAATTCCTATTTTTCACTCGACGCACATTGGAATTTTCCCTCCACAGACGCACGTCCTTAAATTAGGGAATGAACTTGCGCTCCGGGGGGCGGTTCAGCGAAAAGAGGAGGCGTGTTCCGGCGCAAACGTTCCCTGGTGCTATTTTGCTGTTTCAGAAAGCAATTCTGCCACAGACCAGGAAAAACCTGGTCTAAAGTCAGTGGCGCCCTTGCGCACTGCTCGGCCCGGGCACACTGCTCCCGAGGCCAGGGTCTTCTTCCTGCGGAGCTGCGTTACATTGTTTTGATTTATTGTATGGCTGTGTTACATTTATTTCATGTCAATAATGACACTTCTCGGTCTTTTACGGCCCTGACGAGAACGTCGGTCTCCTCGGCTGTGAACCGCTCCTGGCGTGCGCCTGGCAAATCCGCCGTTATAATAGCAATCTACCATGGAACAAGCGCGCCTGCTTTTAAAGGGAATGTGAGATGACGCTCTGATTGGTTTATTGCACGTTACGCCCAAACCACACCTATGACTAATGTAGCTACTTCAGACCAACCCATTTTAGATTTACGCCGGGCGCAAGAGTCATTTATCCCGCTGGCATAATAGCAACAGCGCCTAGATCCGCCCACAAAGCTACTTGCGTTTTGCGTTTGATACTTGCGTTTCAGATCGGCAAGATAGGGCCCTTAGTGCTGGCAAAAAGAGCTCAGTTACACCACCCTTAAACATAAAGCACCCTTGATGGTGATGGTGGCGGTTTTCCTACGTAAAGCCCTGTTTGGCTACAAAGTGGATGAGACTACTTAAAATCTGACAGATTGGTGGTGTGCATTGTTGCTAAAAAAAGATCTGGAACACCATAACCTCACAACATACTGTTGTTACTGTTCTTAAGCACACCTATTCAGGGATCCAGTTCTCAGCATTATTCGAACCCATCATTATTAATTAACTCATTTATTCATTACACTTCTGTTATATACTGTAATATACATATTTAAAAGTCTCATTTTCTATTTTCTATATATTGTTATATAATGTAGTATAATGTACATATTTTTACACACTCTTATATTTTTCTATTTTCTAAATATATTGTTGTTATATATTAGAAGATTAACTTTATTCATTCCAAATGGGGAAATTCTTATTTTTTTAACTCAATGTTTAAACACATTGGCCCAAAATACACTCTCTCACACTCACTCCCACCACACACACACACACACACACACACACACACACACACACACACACACACACACACAGCTTATAGACATACAATGTGGGGAGATGGTGGTGTGATGGGCTGCAAAACTAATTTCCCCAGGGGGATGAATATAGTATTTCTGATTCTGATTCTGAACATCATCAGCCAATAAAGCATGCAGAGTGCAAGCGCACAATTGCAAACACAGATTTAGACGTGTCCACTGGAACAAGCAGTTTCCAGTTTTAAAAAGGTGCCACTACACACAGTCAGAAAATGAAGGCTTTTAACTGATGAACATCACTACCCCATTCCCATGGCTGCAAACATTTCATGATTTATACTGATAAGATGGAAGTTTTTTTCTTTATTTTTGTATATTTAGAATATGTTTTATTATATATTAGAGTTACCCTAACCCCTCTAAGAGTTTCTCTTTTCTCTTTTATATTTATATCAATATTGACTGATAAGAAAAATGATGGTGATAAAACTGTTGTCCTATCCCTTAGCGCGATATTTTATTCAGCCAAAGCTCTTCATTTATCACTGATGCATTGAACAGTTTGGTATATTTTTCAAAATGAGAAAAAAGGCCTACACTTCTTCTTCTTTCCTTGCTACTAACTCCTGCTCCTTCTTGCCTTCCCACTCAGCTGATGCTTCAGCCAGCCAATCGGCTGCTAACGCTCGGAAACGCTTTACCCTGCAGGGACTTTCCAACAGGAGGTCTCTTCCAGCAGGTAACCGCAATGCATCCAGTGCTCGCTTCTTCATCAAGAGCATCATCACTGGTGTCTTTGTGATCATCATCGTCTGTCCTTTGTTCATCTGTTACTGCTGTCATCATCATCTTCATCATAATGATAATCATGATCATCCTGAGCGGCAACTTGCTTATACCTTGCCTCTGTCCTTCCTCCGTCTCCACACTGTTGTCATCTCCTTTTCCTTCCTCAAGTGTTCTATACATCTCTGTGTTAGTGTGCATCTCGTTGTCATCGGGTGGATCTCTCCGCACATTCCAGCGCCCGCGGAGTCTCAACATAATAAAGGCCACATCTTCCTCTATTCCCCTTTTCATCTGTTCACATCAGAATCGTCTGCATCTGCCCGCGCTACGAGGAAACTGATTTAGGAGAGAGAGGGACAGGGTACTGTTGAAAAGACAGGATTTGAAGACAGGGAAATTGCAGGAGATAGACAGATGGATGGAAAGAGAGAGGATCTGCCCAGCAGTGGTGACACCGCAGCAAGGCTGAATTCCACTGCGCTAAATGTCACGCTCTAATATTCGAGGCCTCTTGACATTTGGAAGCGCATTAACATTTTTGGAGGAGGACAGCCTTGATTCCAGGTTCTGCTTTCCATGTCGCAGTAGTTTGGCCAGTCCCCAAGCCACACACACTCCTAATGAGACTGATAAGTGAGGTGGGAGAGATCAGGTAATGGAGTCAGTTGACTAGTCAAGCAAAGATGACCAGAAAACCCACAGTATTCCAACAACCTCATGAGGGAAGGAAGTAAAAATGAAATGTGGTAGAAGTTTGTTTTAAGGACCTGCAAATTCTCAAATAGTTGCCTTCATTTACCTTGAAGATACAGTAGGTCATTTTTATACAAACTATTTTTTGTCATATGAAAACTATACAATAATATAAAATATTATACTCACTATATCCTGACAGTAGAACATGAGACAGATAATCTGTAAAAAATCAGGTTCCTCTGGCTCCTCCTAGTGCTGCTAATGGTATTTGGAAGAATCCACCAGGCCTGAATGAAACCACCAATCGGGGCTGGTATGTGGATCATTTTCCAATTGTTTACCAGCTCAGAGCCCATCCAGCACCTTTTGGATGAACTAGAATGCTGACTGAACCAGACCTGATCAGCCAACATCAGTTTTGGACTTTACTGGTGCTGTTGAGGCTGAATGGGAGCAAATCCCTGCAGCCAGGTTCCATAATTATGGGAAATGTGGTATTTAAGGCTTATTCATGATGATTATATTTGCCCATATAACTCTATCATCAATAAAATAAGTTTCCTGTATTTCTTAAACAATTAATTCATGATGCTGTCATATATTGGTGTAGTTACGACTGTCACTTGTAGACACATGTAGAACTTTACATTGCTTAAACTGAATCCTTATCCTAAACCCAAACTTTAAGGATGAACTCAACCATTGTAAAGACGACTGGCTTTATATCTGGTCCTCATACAGTAAATACACACTATACTATATATGCACATACTCCTAAGCCCTGCCTTGAGCGGCGATTGTGCCGTCTGCTGCATAAGATGGAAATCAATGCAGAGACGATGGCAGGTGTCCTACTGCTGAATTGACTCGCACATTAACGGCTTCCTGTGCTTGGCTGCCGCGTGTGTCCCCTCAATAAGCACAATGTGTTAGATTACTGGAGAAAGGACTGAAATCTAGGCCCCCTCCATCCACTCCGTCCTGTGACTCCTCAGACATGCAAGCTGTGGCTTGGCTGTTTGTTTTTTACAGTGACACAGCATTCCAACAGAAGGAGGTGGAGTTCAACACCAGTTGCAGTGGTGTTGCGTCAGGTATAATGAGACGTCCATGCTGAAAAGTCACATTATTCTCTTAGTTAGCCTCGTACTTTGCCCTGACTCTGTTGGTCTAATGTGTCTCCTCCTTTGACATGAAAAGGATTGCATTTCCTTTCGATGGTATTTATTTTTGAGTGTGAACGTTCATTCTTGACTCCGGAAACAGTTTGACAGACCAAAAAAAAAAAAATCAACTCAAGGTTTACTTACTGTTTTTTTCTGGAGTTTCAATCTCATGACTCGTGGTCTTCCTCAACGGACGGATGCTTTGGGTTAACAATACAATCTTCCTCCCATACACGACCACCTGATCTCACCTGGCCTGAGCAAACTCCATCCACTGAGGAAGACCATGAGATGAGGAGAAAGCTCTGGTAAAACTAATATTGTAACCTGAGTCCTTTTTTTTTTGTATTTTTGTTTTGTTTTTGTCCCATTATTTAATTTCCTGCTTCCTCTTTCCATTTGCTTGATCCGTTGTTATTTTTCGTGGATTTTACTTGTAGGTCACCTTTAAAGCAATTTGCACAATTGATAACTGGTCAGAAGATAAACTGCTATTATTAACATTTCAGAAGTAATTATCATAAGTAAGTTGTATCGCCTTTATAATTTTATTAATATGTCTGAAAATGAATAGCTTGTGTTTTGATGTGAAGTTGGTGTCAAGAAGTGTGTTCCTTTCTTTTAATTACGCTGTTACCTACGCTGTTACCTTGGTTTGCATTCTGTGTAACTCCTTATCTCTCTTTCAATCCTCCTCTGCTTCTTAATTTCTCCTCCCTTTCCTTTCCCTTTTCTGCACTTTTCCCCTTCCTTTGCTCCTTCCTGGTCTCTCTCCATGTCCCTTCCTCCTTCACGACCCCTCTCCGGCTCTAGAGCCAGCTGCTAAGGAGGCACAGGTCCCCCGCCGCTTCTCCCTTACCTCCTCTCTCGCCTCATCCTCCTCCTCCTCCTCCTTCGCCACGAGACGCACAAAAGGTACCTGATTAGCTTTCCAAAGTCTTCTTGCCTCCACCTTTAGCTATTTCTGTATTTTCTGTTCACATTCACACAGCAGACTAATCAAAGTGTACATACTGCTCACAGTAGAAGCCTAATAATCACACTGCATTGTTTGATAGGCTCTGTGGTGCAGTGTTTAATAAAAATGTGGGTAAATTAAGACCTTTAGTCAGATGTACAGAAAGGCCAATATGAACAAAAAGTCCATTGCTGTTACTCTATAGTCCAATTTTATGATTTACATTTTTTTTTCTTGCTTTTCTTCTTGTTTCTCTGTCCATGCAGACCAGCAATGTCAGACTTTTTGTGTTTAAGGGCAACTATCATACACTTAACTCTACTATACTGTGACACACCCCAAATTGAATCTGCAGCATATATTGCACAGTTCACAGTACACACTTGGCTTCAACAAGTTGACTATAATGGGCTTCAACTAGAGTAAGAGACACACTGTACATCCTAACACGTAAACAAATCGATTATAGGAATGACATTTTTTCACCGTAAGGTAACAAAATGTGTGGATATACCTGTACATAGAAACAAAATGATCTCATACTTAAAGCCCCTACAAGGAACTTACATTTTGTGTTGATTTTGGTGGCCCCTGTGGAAAATTGTAATGTTTCTACCGTCTCTGAGTGAATCTACGCAGTGACAGGCATTAATAATAACTATATAGAAACAGCCAATCTTGTCACTGATGGTATTATTTGTTAATGTAGGCCATATAGAGGCATCACTTTTAAATTGAGACTGTTTCATAACCAGTTAAAAACTCCTTGTAGTATGTTTAATCCATTCCAAAACCAAAGCTGGGAAATACAGTCACTAGGAGAGATTGTGAGAACTGAAAGAATCTCAGCAGGGAAGTGATTGATTGCAGATCGCAGGTCCATTTTCCTAATGGACGAGGAATAATCAAGCTAGAAACAAATAAATCCTATCCCTTGTTACTAATTTGAAAAAAAAATAAAAATTAAAAAAATTAAATTCAAGGTATTATAAAATTATTTTATTAAACTTTGTGCTTAGGGCTAAAAGACACCACAAATGCAGTCATTATCATAAACCTGACAATACTAATGTATACTGAATACTAATACTATACTACTTGTTTTTACATTGTGTTGTAAAATATTTTGCTTTGTCAGTCAAACTCTGACCCACTCAGAGGCTTGGAGGTTAAAGGAGCATTTCAGCTGTGTCTTCAGAGACCTTTTTAGATTTATTTTTAATTATTTTATTAGATTAGATTAGATTAGATGTAGGATGAATTCTAAAAATTGACAGATAAATGTATTTGAGGTTAATTTTGAGGTAGAACGATGCCAACAAGAACAACACCAAACGTCCACTTAGAAGCTGAGAGGATACTGTTTAGTTGGGTTTGCCCTTCAGTACATGCCAGGTTGTCGTTTTTCACCAAAACACTGCAATTTCATTATCAGCTCACACACTTAAATTGAATCCGTCCTGGGAAAACGTGTGTATGTGTGTACATGTATAGTGTGAGGGGGGAAAACATTTTTTTTTATTACCTTTTTCCCATTAACAGCTCTCTTGAAATTTATGAGATGTATAGAGAAAGTCAAGGCTTTGCTGAGAATGAAAACAATGTTAAAGGGGGAAAAAGCTGCAAATGAGTTGACATACATATTCTCTTTAAAAAGCGACAGTAAGGAAATAAGAATTTTGATAAGCTGACATTTGGAACGTAGGGTGACATTCAAAGTGGCAGTAGAAGTGCAATTTACTGCAGGAATACAGATGAGAAGTTCATTTTCAACCAGGCAGAGGCAGGGGAGGAATTAAAAACAGCAGAAGAGAGCTATTGAAGTTTTCCCTTGAACTATTTCCGCTCAGTCGCTTCTCTGCTTTTATTATATTTCCCTTTTCCTGAGCGCAGTCGAGAGTGTTACAATAACGTACGACCGTTGAGAGTGCTCCATGGAGTCGGGAATGTGGCTGTAGCTTTGTGGCCTCTGATCCACCTCATACATTAATATCAGGAAAAAAAATTCATTCACTTGATTGGTACAGTAGAAACTGTACCTAGGCTATATGATGTGTCCACTGGCCAAATGGCTGTTCAAATTCATTATATTGCCTTTAGGTTTTTCTGGCTGTTCAGTGACTTACTGGGACACTCGTTAATGTTATGCCTGTGCTTTTCCTACTACAACATTGCTGTAAAGTTTAAAACAGCTTGCCGGGACAAGTAGCAGTCCTACAAGTTTTAAACAATCCCACAGGTTTCAAACTTATTTGAAAGAAAAACAGTGACATCTTGTTTTCAACGTTGACCTATCAAACTCACAGTAACTGTGTGCACGCATTTTTTCTTACGCAGTGTAGGATTGTTTTCAACATTTCAGCTGCACTCACTCTCGGGTTCACTTCCAAATGAAGAGGTTTGGATCATTTGGCTAGCCTGATGTCTTGTTTACAACTTACCCGATCCTAGATCTCAGTCCTTTGGTCAGTACAGTGTTGTCATAAGTCATAAAACAGATGGCCAAAACTAAAAAACTTTGACCCAAGTTCTGAGGTAAATAACAAGAATGATCCTTTAGGCCCTCTTCAGACATGCACTGCACTTTGCAAATGTACTAGGGTTTTAACATGATGGGTTCACATTTGAATAAGCCCTCCAGTTGTTTATCTGTAAAAGTCCTAACAAGTAGGACCTAGTAATATATTTATTAAAATAATAAAAATAATATATTTATTTTTTCTTACAAAGAAGACAGAATTCAACTTTCATTCATGCTTGTGAGACATTATTACACCATGTCATTTTTCACTTTGTTTTGGTGCTCTCAGACTATATTAAGCAATCTAGGCAGCATAAATTCTATATTTAATCTAATAAATAATCCAATTGATAAGTATAGGGCTGCTAAGAGTTGTGAGAACTGGTGGTGAGCCTCAGACTTTCAACGCTCATTCAACTGCAAAATGTTTAAATGAGCCTTGACTTTAACAGATGGATGTTACAGATTGTGTGTCTCAATGAACTTTTAATATGTTGTCTAAAAGGATTTTAGTTTCTAATTCTGGTTACTTCTCCCGGCCAGGTCCCCTTTCTGCTAGCATAAAGAGCAAGAGACATGAGATAAAGAGTGATCCCACTCCATTTGGTTATGAAGGTACATAAAAATGCCAAGATATGTATGTAAAGTACTAGTTTGGTTAATTAGGCACGCAGTTATTTTTTTTATTTGTGGATGATATGTGTATGTTTGCACGTGTTTGTGTGCTTGTTCTCTTGGTGTTTTTCTTGCCTGCTGTGTTGACTTGTGATGTGATGTTCAAATGCATGCGTATAAAATGAAGAGTATCAGATAAAATATTTTGTCGTAGTTTTGGTGTGGTGACGGGTTTGTCGGTTTTTGGGCCTGTTGATTTCTGCATGAGTTGGCACTAGATATACTGAATTTCATTTGATCTGTCAGGATAAATTTTGGTTGTGGTTGTCGATGTTGAATGGCGCTCATAATGAAAAGGCTGGTATAAAGCATTTGGCTTTCCTCTAGATACTTTGAGAGGTGCTATGGCTGCAGTCAGGAAACGTCAGAGCATGACTAGCAACACTGCTACTGCTGCTGGCGGCACCACAGCTGTTCCTAGATCCACTTCCCAACCAGGTAACCACAGAGGAGGACTCAACTCCTACAGTCATTTGTGTGGTTGTTTTCTTGCTGGAATCGATCTCAGTTTTATGTGTTGATTGAGTGTGCAGGCTCTGACTGGCCTTTATTTCATATTGTTGATTTTTCCAGAGTTTCTGATGGGTAACTTCATCTTCTTTCTGCAGCACCTTGATTTCTTCATCGACCAGATCAGATTAGTCATAAAGAAATAGTTCTAAAACCTGAGCTTCTATAGCCTTTTACCAGCCATGTCCACCTTCCCTTCTTGCTATGAACTGCTCCTGTTTGGGTGGCTACTATGATGCCAAGATATAAACAGGAATATTAGACCTAATTATTTCTTAAAAGACAGGTTCAAAGCCTCTGCTGCTGCTGATAACCTCTCTTGCATTGACTCTTGAATGGCTGCTCAGCCAATATATGATGCATCTTATTGTGGTTTTAGGCCACTGTCTCCTGCACCCTTTTTGCACCCATTTACTCGTAATAGACGGAAGCGGGATCAGGAGGAAACTGGCTGGGACAGCACCCATTAGAAAAAATAATGCAAAATTGATACATTTTTGCGGTTAATTTCATACTGTATAACTTCACTTGAAGTGGGATCAAAATGCAGAGAAAGTAAAAACTAACTTATTTGCTTCTTTGAAAATCTTATTTAAAATTAATTCATTAGGCTTGCTGTCTCTGACCTCCTTAAGATATGTTCTGACATTGATTTAGATACAACAATGGGTCGGTTGGTGGCATTTATCTTAAGTTCTCTGAGAGTGTGGCAACCAGCAAATTGTCAGTGATAAACATCTATTATATAACAAGGTAGAGACGTGGCCTAGACCCACTTGACAATCATTTGGCTTCAGGGTGGCTAGATAAACTTTTTTAAGGATGGTTAGACAGAACTTGATTCATTTTGGCATGAACTCTCTCTTCAAAGTCAGAAACTCTCACATATAAAGTGTGTCTCTGTCAGGCATTTCTGATCAATTGGCAGTATTACAGACTGTTCTACATGCTTGCAAAGTCATTGTGTGTGTGAGAAACTTGGCTAGAAGTTTAATTATTGCAAACAGACTTGTCAAGCTTTTCATGTTGATGTAAGACAAAATACTTAACTGCACAGGAACATTGCTTTTCTGTCAGTGAAGCACAATCCCCTGCCAAGTGGAATAGTAATACCCCCATTGTTTATGAGTACATTTTGGTGGTTAATAATGTGTATTGATTGCACTCAGGCTGGGCCCAGCGGCGTCTTCCTTCCATGGACACAGACGATTTTGAGACGATCCCCTCCAGTGCAGAAGAATCCTCCAACTCGTCAGAAGAGGAAGGCAGCAACAAAAACGTAGGTATACACTCAAGATTGCAGCTCACTTTGGCCAAATGTTGAGTTTAACCCAGATATGATTGGAGCATTATTGGGCCCATTTTATTGAGAATCAAAAACAGTTCAGTCGCACTAAACATTATCCAACCTTGGGCCAAGTGAAAGATGCAGCTTGGCCCATCCCATTCCGGTCCTGCTGGGTTGTGTCAGCTTCAGCCATAAATCATCACATTGTACGATCACTCACCTTCCCTCGACAGCTCTCCACTCATCCCTCGTTTCCTCTACACTCATCCTTCACTTTCCCCTCTTTTCCACTAAATCCCCCTCTGATCCCTCTGACAGAAGACCCCTCCATTGCTTAATTATTTCCCATGGACATGCGTCTCATTAGCTGCCGGCACTGAAGACTTGACATTTAAGAAACGAGGGAGGAGAGACAAAAGACTGGGAGGATTACAGCCGCACAGGACGTATATGACGTATATATGGCAGCCTTTCCGGATCCATTATAATCTGTGTGATGTACAGTGGAGAGCCACACAAGCATCATACAAACACACACACACACACACACACACACACACACACACACACACACAAACACACACACACACACACACACACACACACAGTAACTGACATTTTTGCATCAGGTGGGAGATGGCAAATTAAACCTGCAGTGCAGAACTTTTGTCTTCCCCTTGTGGCAGTGAGAGTAATTACACAAATACTGTCAATGTGTTCTTATGACGTATAAATGGTAAATGGTTAATGGACCTGTACTTGTTGTATAGCGCCTTTCTAGTCTTCCGACCACTCAAAGTGCTTTCACCCTTTCACACACATTCACTCAGCGATGGCAAAGTCCATCAAACAGAAATTCACACACACCGATGCACAGCATTAGGAGCAATTCGGGGTTCACTATCTTGCTCAAGGATACCTCAACATGTGGCAGCAGGAGCCGGGGATCCGATTAAAGGACGCCCCACTCTTCCTCTGAGCCACAGCTGCTTATACTGATACCATACTAATTTCTGTAGCTCTATATGACCTCCATAAACAAACAAGGCCATCAGTTATTTCTATATAGTTATACTTAGTGCCTGCCATCAGGTTGGATTCCCTTTGAAATCAATGAAAAAATGCAGGTAAACTTAGGTTACTGCACTTGTATTACTAAAATTGAAATTGAAATCAAAGTGTGTGTGGAGTTCAGCACCCACAGAAAACCTAATTATTGCCGCTTTAGCAAGGCCATTCAGATTTTGCTTTCAACATTTTAGTCACTACTGTGATGCACACCAAGAGGTGCTGATCACTGGAAACTGAAGTAGGAAAAAATGTATTGCACACTCTGGCTCCATATGCATTTCTCTTTTATTGAGCTGATGACGTTTCAACCCTCTGGCCTTCTTCAAGATCAACAATCATTGTTGGTAATAATAATAAATACAAGAGAAATCCATATGGAGCCAGAGTGTGCAACACTTTCTTTCCTACTGTCATATCTTTTTATTTGATTGATGTAACATAACTCAAATACTTCAAAACACTACACTTTGATTGGCAACCTAACTAATGTTAACAACCTTTAGCAACAAGAAAACAGAAAACATTACATTTTGATGAATCATGTGTCTGACACTTTGTTTGCTTTTCCACATCTTATGTTTTAATACCGGAGGTCTCAATAATGAGTCATGATATTGTTAAGACTAAAATATTAATATGATACTGAACGTACAAAAGGAGGGAGGTTCTAACCACTGAAATGAATGTGACGTGACCACCTACAGTAGATTGTTTAACCAGAGGATAGTCACTACTCTGTTGGTCTTATTTGAGTACAAACACACAGTCCATTTGCAATCAGAGTGGTGTTTGAGCGGTGCATGTTTTTCTAACAAATTATATATGGCAGAGTAATGGCAATGCATGTGAACCAGGATTCACTTAAAGGACCAGTGTGTAGGATTTAGTGACATGTAGCACGAAGTTGCAGATTGCAACTAACTGAATACCGCTCACCTTCAAAGCATGTAGGAGAAACTATGGTGACAGCAAAACTCACGAAAAAAACGCTACAGCCAGTGTTTGGTTTGTCACTTCTGGGCTACCGTAGAAACAAAACGGGACTCTGTAGACGAGGACCCGCTCCCTCTGTAGATAAAAACAGTTCATTCTAAGGTCACAAAAACACAACGATTCCTATATTCAGGTGAGTATACATTAATGAAATCATACCAGCTCATTTTAACAAGCAAAAAAGCCATGGTCATATAAGTTACTATTTGTTAGCGTCAGTGTTTAGTGAATCTATGCGTTTTTCCAACCTGGAACCACATCCACAATGGAACTGCCTACATACAGAGTTTGACTCTGTGGTTTCTTTCTGCAGGGGGATGCCAGTCGTTTCAGGGTGCAGCTGACCTATGATTCCAACGAAACCCGAGACTTATCTCTGGAGACGGGCGACCTGGTCCAGTTTCTGGAGGAAGCAGAAAACGGACACTGGTGAGTTCCAGTTGGCTCCACCATGGAACTGTGGGAAGTCAGTCAGCTTGTTCCTGCCCACTGATTGTTTCCCCGGTTTGGTTGTAGCCCCCTCTGATTTAGCACTATATTTGAAGTCTTTGGCTAAGCAGGTTCCCATCTGCCAGTTCAAACATGTCCTGTTCCTAAATAAAGGTGCGAGAACATAAACTTCCCACTTTGTTCCCAGTACAACAAGAGCAAGTGTCTCAGAAATAAGGCAAAAACTAAACTGACATTGCATTATACTTTATTTAGGGCACTTGTGTTAAGCATCTCATTCCCACTGTGTGCCCTCAATAAACTATAATTGCCTTGCAAGTTCTCTGTTACCACTCTTATTTGTGCAATGTGTTCTTTTTTTTTTTTTTTTTTTAGTTCTCCTAAGGAGTTTATATTTTTGGCTCAGCATTCATTGCAGAAGACTTCTATTGTTGAAGCAAATTCTCCATAGCAACAAAAGGACCATAGTTTGCCTGTTACTTAGGAATCTTTTCATTATGTTTTCTGCCTACTTTTAGATTTGCTCTTTAGGCTCTGTATACTCAGCATTTCATTGCTGAAAACTCGGCTTGTTAATATCTGCACAGTTGATTCTTATAATTGCCTGAGGGTAGCATCTCTTTTACCGTATGAAAATAGAATGACTGTAGTCAGACATCAGTTTTAAGCAGCAGGCAAAGGCAGTTTTCAAGTAGTATAACATCCGCTGTAGCATCTACAAATCACCAAATTTCCCAAGATCACCCAGTTGAAGAGTTGTATGATGACCACCTGAAAAGTAATAGTAGTAGTGACACTTATGCACATAAAGTACTAGCAACCGCTATTTTAGACCTGCATTTACAGTGTAGACATACAGCTTTTTTGATTCCATTATATAATTGATTATAATTATAATTAGGGCAGCTCCTGACTAAAGATTTTCTTAGTTGTTGCACATTTATGATATTAATTTGTTTTTTTTTTGTTGTTGTTCAACAGCCGCCTGTTAAATGATAACAGAAAAAGCCGTAATGATAATACTTTATTAATCCCCGGGAGGATACTTATTAATAACATCACACAAGTCTTGTTCAAAACAAGCAATAACTTCCAACCTCACAAACACTAATACCGGCGGACTTCACTATACTATGGATGATCTATAACGTTAACAGTTACTTACAAATTAACTCGCTACAAACTCACTCCATGCATCTCCTATTCCTGCCTGAACCCACCGTGTTTTCGTCCTCCCCTGAGTCAGAGGCCTAGTCGGAGCCACTGTAAATCATTAAAACTGTAAATCATTCAATCAAATTACATTTTGTATCATGGCTACACAAATAATAAGTACAAAATGACTAATTACCAGCCACAGTTGTGTGTACAGATATTCAGAATCAAACCCTGCAGCCTTAAAAACAAAACCCACTGCACAATGCACGGTTAAAGTCTGCAGGGTCTTCCATCCAATCCAGGCTGCATGTGGACATCTGCAAAAACATCTGTGAGCAACTTTTTATACATGGGCATGTTACAAAAAGGGGCTATAGATGCAAAGAAAATACAACTTGAGTTTACTCTTGGCATTGGTTTGAAACAGCTGGAACAACAGTTGGGTAACTGCATGCATCGGAGATTTCCCTCACAGCTCACTATTGAACGTCAAGACAGTTTACACTTCGTTTGAGGGTGCATCATCATGCAAAACACTGCAAACTGATCTGTCACTCAGAGCAAAATAGTCCTTTGTGGAGCAACTAAAAATGCCAGTAGATGAATTGTAATCGCTGTCAGGGGAGGTGGTTGGTTGGTGGGTGAGCTGTTATTTCAAAAGAAAGTACAGGCCACAAGTTTTAAAAGTCAGCACCTGGTGAGGCAATCACTGGCTCATTGGCATTCATCAGCAGCCCTATCACCCACCTGCAGCTGTGTTATGGTCATTTTCTGCTGAGGGACAGCTCAATGGGCCATATTGGTGTCAATGTTTCACTAGAAACCTGCTCAAATGACCCTAATAGCATTGTGTGCTACCTTCCACCCTGCTATTTAGAATGCACTAATCATCCAGCCATCAGTTCATTGAAAAATTGCATCATTGTGTCATTTTATTCATGCATCATTTTAGACTAAAATGATGCAGTAGATTGCAGCAGGCTCTGCGCCAACAAATTTCCACAGAGCTTTAATTGAAATTCACAAATGCTAGCAACACCGGTGTAGATTGTGACATTGAGACTTTGTGACACCCACAGCAACATGTTTTCATAATCTTTTTATTGTCTACCCTTACTCTGTTTATCTGTTCTTACAACTGTGATTAGATTCAGAGCCGTATGCCTAATTCAAGATGAATTTTCAATGTCAAACCATCTGCACAGAGGCTGGTCAGTGCTGCAAGATGACACTCGCTGGATGTATGCCGAAAGTAGAGAAATCAATTAGCTAGACTTGAGTATGTTTTCTGTCAAGAATATCCCCTTGCATGAAGCATCCCCTTCAGCTGTCTTTCACTTATTTGACAACCATGCCTAGAACTGAGCACAGACCTAATTTCTTTATATTTGAGGCCAAAGAACTTTCCATTGCACAGGATTTGCTGTTTCCCAAACAGTGACCCGGAAGTGCGATTGGGTTTTAATACTTTTTTTATTTATGTTTCTCAAATATTTTCATCCATCGATTTTTTTCACCTAGGGGCTCTATACAGTTGTGACATAGCAGTAACATTGTTTCTTTTGGTTTTCGCTAATGATAAAATTAGTTGATCTTTTTCATACACTTAAATATTAGGCAAAACAGGCTTTATGACCTATTCTGCAGTCAACCACCAGGGGACCATTGAGATGATTTGGCTTTACTTTTGGAGATCTGTCATGCCATCCATTGTTATATATGTAGATGATTATAACTTAAATTAAACATAACATGTAAATGAATGTGAAATTTGTATGGATGGACAGACCCAAACCCAACCATTGCCCCAACGCAATCTATAAAGATAAGTCAAGCTGGTTGGGGGAGAATTACTGAAGGATTCTTGTCTGTGAGGCTCAGCTGGGGGCAATAATGTCACTTTCCTCAGGGTGTCAAACTGTGTTTACATTGCAATCGAAAAATGCAATCGAAGCAAACCCAGTCCCTTTTTCTGTTTCTCACAACCCCTATATTAAGGGCTGGAATGGGACTTTCGTTCATTTACTCTGGCACTATAATTTCAGGCATTTTAAGCAACCTGAACATAAATGACCTGAATTTAAATGATAGTCCCCTACACTGCACAGGCTATATTTTATCCTCCACTAAACTTTATTACTACATTTCATTCAGGACAATCTTATTTATTTATTACGTGATACTACGCAAACTCATGGTGCTTTACATTTAAATGCACACAGCATCAAGTACCGTGTGCAGAAGAAAATAATAAATAAATACGTCTAATGCAATAACAGAACAATAGAAAGGAAACCAACCAAACAGTGTAACTGTTTCTTCAAATTATAACTTATGTAGTAATGAGTTACTGTGTTCAAGGCTGATGCAGATGGAGAGTTTGCGCAGAGAGAGGCTGGATTTAGGGTTGATGACAAGTTATTAAGACAATACAGAGTGCAAAAAATATTGTAATATATATGAAGGACCTCATCAATCCAAAATGGCTACTTAATGACCTCTGACTACAACCACAACAGTGAGTATAGATTTGAATCAACACCTCATAGTGTCATCACAGGACTGTTTTTGTACGTCACAGTACGGTGTGCAGAGGTATTTTTTACTTTGTCTGTTTTGGTTCACGGTAAATAAGCTCTATTTGGAGATATTATGAACCACTGACTCCCTAATAGGCTGGCTAATGTGTTTCACTGTAGTTACAATAAACCCTGAGCTTATTTTTGCTCCCAGTTTCCCAAAATACTTGGTGGATACATAGTAGATCAAAAGCTTCTGTATGTATCCATTATGTGCCTGTAAAGGTACTTCTGTGTATCTGTACACAGGTATCCAGTAGATCCAGAAAAAATTATAATTTGGTATCGTACTGAAACTCATGTTTTGTATCAGACCTAGTAATAATAATTCTCAACCTTGTATATAAACCTGGACAAATGAACATGAGTACCTTACAGTATCAGCACATGCCAGTGATATGATTGTTCTAAATGTTCTCATACCCTGTAACACACTGCTAACCCATCCAAAGTGTACCCTGCATCTAGCCTAATACATGCCGGGCTCCAGCCTCCCACGACCCTGAAGAGCATAAACGGATATAGAAAATGGATGGATGAACCTTACAACATAATGCAGTACAATACAACCACGCCATAAACTTCAGCCCCAGATATTGAGTTGAATCCATTCTCTCTGACAGAGTATCAAGAAAAATCGAACATTAAGCTTCAAAAAGGCAGCTATTGATGCAGAGCTGCTCTGTCGGATTATGTTAGCTGTATCAGTGTTGATGATATTATGTAGTTTAGCATAAGGAAAGCTTTTTTTCCCCCCACTTCATCTGCTACTATCTGTAATCATTACCCATACCATGGCTTCTCCGGTTAGAAGTCTGTCTCGACTTTGGTCCACATTAATCAACCAAGCCCGAGAAAAGGAAATGAGACTAGTGCAACAGCTGCTCCTCTGCTGCCCTATTCTCTCTCTACAAGGATTAAAGGCTCAGTGTGGCTCGTTTGGAATTAAAATTTCATTCAATATAACATTACCCTGATGAAGCAATGGGAGATACAACAACAAAACGTGTGACTAATGGTCTATTGCCAAATCAAGAGAAGCGGCTGGAAACACAATGGCTTCAGATGAATAATAAATCTCTGTTTCATTCACTGCACCGCCACCATCTATCCTTTCGGCCCGCCAGAGAAACAGAGGCTACTGCCTTTATGGAGAAACAGCCTCTGGAATCGACCGCTGAAAGAGTGTTTTGGTCTCATGCAAGCTCTCTGCATTTGGAAGTGACTAATACTCTGCTAGAT